TTTAAAAAAAAAAAAAAAAAAAAAAATCTCAAATGTTTTTCACATCAAGCTAACAACAAATTGCTACAAAGGTGAAGAACAGTAACTTGAATATTCTTATAAGATATTCTGAATTTGTTCCTCAAAACGAATTCAGTAAGTGTAGTAAATACTTCCAGCCATCATGACTATATTTCCAGCTACCATGACTTTTTATAGTAAATAATAGAAATAGATCTTCATGTCAACAGCTTGACTATATTTACAATATGGCAGGTAATTTTCAGCTGTCTGGGAAAACTACACATATAATCAGTATACATACTAAACACGGTTGTATGAGTAACAACAAAAACTATCTCTGCAACAAAAAATCCATGCACATCTGAAATACAACTTTTCCTATGTGTCAGATAAAACCATATGACAAATGCAAAATAAACTGTTTGTACATGGTATGCTAATCAGGGGCGTGCAAAATGGGCCATATTTAATTCGGATTTGGATTTGGCCCGAATCAGGGACAGTGATTTGATTTGTTGATTCCGATCACTGTTCTGATTTGATTAGGCCAAACCTGAATCTGAATAGTCGATGCTGATTTGGCTATAGACACAGCTTTAAATATTTTTTCTACATACCTCGAGGTACCAGGTGCAACTTGTGAATGCTGCAGTGGTGGGGTGTATGGAGTGTCCTACAGGAGCGCAGGGAGCCCCCCCCCCGCATGCTCGATGGCAAACCCGGAATTGGACTGGAAGTACTTCTGGCCTACTTCCAGGTCCACCACCAAGCACATGGGGGATCCCTCCCCTTCCTTCCTGGCTTGGCCATGGGCCATGGGGGACCCCAGGTGCCCCTCCCAGACCCAGGAGGCACCAGTCGCCAAGCCAGGGGGCAGGGAGAGGGGTCCCCTGCCCACTCCCCAGCGGACCCGGAAGTGGACTGGAAGTGCTTCTGGTCCACTTCTAGGTCTGCTGCCGAGCATGCTGGAGACACTTCCCCCCCACCCCACCCCTGTGCTCCCATGGGATGCTCCATCCGCCCAAGCATCTCAGTATTCACAAGCTGCCTGGTACCTTGAGGTATGTAGAAAAAACATTTAAAGCTGTGTCTATGTCCGAAACATTAATCTCTCCAAATCAGTTTGGAGGGTTCTGATTTGATTCAGAGATAGGTCTCCTGATTCAATTCGGTTTCGGAGATTTGGCCGCCAAATAGGGCCATATCTCCGCCATATAGAATCAGTGACCAAATACATCCCTAATGCCAATACAGTATTTCTTGTCCTCTGATGTGAATTTTAGTATTGAATTAGTTTTTTATTGAAAAAACTTTAGTAGAAGCAGCAAGGTTTATTCCTTTTTTCCTCTAAGACACCCAATGGCCTGTGATGTACTACCGAAAATTTCATTTCACACCTCATCTAAATCCTGCAGGTTACTTGTTGATTTATTCATGTAATAGATATTTCATATATTTGTTCTTTCATTACTTAGCATATGTCATATTACTAAAAGTGTCACCACCTTTTTAATGGGAAATTAAATGTATAGAGTTCAGAACTACAGATATAGTGAGAAAAATACTTAAATTAAAATCTAAATGCCTTTTTTTTCTTACAGCAAAATTATGCAGAGGTAATTTAATTGGTGTCAGTGTCCTACATTCTTAGTGTTTCTTAGGAACAAGAGCAATTGCAACCTTTCTGAGACTGTATTAAAAACAGTAATACAGTGGGTGCATTTATACAACATGCTATGGTGCAGTAGCAATGAACTACTGTGCCATAGCTCGTTGTTTCAGCACTGTAGTGTCGCTGGGCATGAACCGTGATGGCAACGCTTTTGAACAGTAGTAATGAGCTATTGCACAGTAGCGTCTAAAAATAATCGTGCTGTGATGGGACTGTGCAGTAATGCTGGTTACTGTGCAGTCATAAGGAAGATGCACCCATTGACTAGTATAATTAAATAAGATAAGTGGCCACTATGACTAGCATGGGAGTTTCAGGTTCTTAGAATAGTTCTGCGTGCAGTACCTGCACTAGAATTTCTTTTGTACAAAATTCAACCTTGAAATATGTGTTCAAAAGCATAATGTGCATCCATGGTTTGTTCCTTATTACCTTTTTATCTAACGAATTAAGTGCTTATTAGGAAAAGGCATCAGAATTGGCTAACATATTAGCTAAGCTTCACTTAACCTGGACCACCATTTCCAACAGATACAGAAAAGAAGTCCTTATAGTATTTTAGAAGCTTTGCATTGACCCTTGTTTCTAATTTCACAAACGTTGTTCTTTGGCTTATCCTTAAACCTTTCAAATGTTCCAAGTGCTGATACCATGGCACCTATGCTACCTCCTGTTTGGTCAGCCAAAACTTAATAATGCTCACATAGATTTTAAAGTATTTCAGAGTAAATCAGCCTTGGGGGGGGTTTTAATGGCCTTTTTGTTCTGTGTTTGTACAGTAGAATCCTGGCCCATGATTAGGATTTCAAGGGGCTACAGTAATAAAACTTGTATTTTTAGCCTGGCCCTAATAAGAGTGCAGTTCTGCTTGTGAAGTGCTGAAGCACCCCTGCAGTCTCTCTGGCTTTAGTTGGGTTGGATGAGTGGTCTCTTGTCACTTTGAAAACATATGAATTCTACCTTCTTTTTTTACCCCCACACAGGTGTATCCTCTCTAAGTGTCCAATTTGCCAAACTTCCAAAGGGACTGAAACATTTAAATGTATCTAAAACCTCATTGTCACCTAAAGGTATGTTTTACACTTATTGCTGAGCTACTATTTTTCCGTTGGATGAGTGAAAACTAAATATTTTAGTTAGTAATAAAGGCTTTTATTTTACAGGTTTAAAATTTTCTTCTGCCTTTGGCTGTTCCTCTCTGTCTGTTGCAGCACTGTTCTGTAGTACCTGTTATTTCTTAACCAGAGTAGCTTGCTGAAGTGTGGGCCAGACCCAAAGCCAATTGATTTGTCAGATGAAAGATTCTGAATGACTTCTGTGCTATTTGGATTAAGTCCTGTACTACCAATGTGCTGGTTTGCATTAACATTGGAATAAATTGTTTGTTGCATTTATGGTTCAAGAAGCTGTCTCCAGAGCATATGGTGTTTGTAATAGCTTACACATTGTGTTTAAATTTTCAAAATAACATTTGTAAATCTATCAAAATATCTTTTGGAAATGTGATTTCACAAAATAAAATTATTTGAGGGTGACTTTAAACAATGGCTTCTGTGGGGATGAATGAAGAGTTTAGCTTACTTCACAAATGTCTAATTTAAAATAATTGAAAAATGTATGCATTTAACCTAACTCCATGAAGTCCTGGGCACCACATAATTTTTAGTCATAGAAAAAAAAAGACATTGAGGTTTTTCTTTAGTTTTTGTTTCACTTGAAAGAGTAATGGAACATCTTAGAGAACCCACGCAATTAAAAATAAAACAACCATACTGATATTATTACAGACTTTTCATGGGTCCTGATGACCACTTATGCATTTTGAACTGGAGGAGACTACTGAATTAAAGTATATGGAAGACACCAGATAATGACTGCTTAATGCTGAGTTTCAATTTAACTATTGCTCTGTGATATGGGAGCCTCAAGTTTTACTGACACGGAGAGGCTGGCCTTTTTGTTTTGTTCTGTAAATAGAGCTATAATGAACATAGTTCTCTAACATACTATTTTAGCAGGCTATTCATGTACGAATGGAAGTTGAAGGAAGTTGGCCCCATTAAGAATGGACTCTCTGTTGGTGGTAAACCTTGAAATAAATTTGGTATTTATAGTTATACTGAGTGCTATGAATCAAGGATCCTAATACGCAGTCATCCCGTAAGCTTGTTCAACATTTGTTATATTTTTAAAGACCTCAAAAAACTTTGACTTCTTATTTTCCCTGGCACTCTGCTCTTAGTGACAAATATTTGCTCAAGGAATTTTGACCACGTTGGTATTTATTCTTGAGACAAGGGATAATGTAAAATATCCTATTAGCTAACAATTAGAATGTTTTCTGAAGTCATTGGGTCAGATTCTACTCTGGCAAAAATACATACTGCTTCCATTATGTTTAGTCACCTCCTGGACTCTCCTTACTCCAGCGTGTTAGCATTTAGTTCCACTGATTTCTTCAAATACTATATTTGCTTGAGTGCAAGAGGAGGTCCGCCCCTTTCACCCTCCATTCAACAAGGGGAAAAAAGAAGCCTTCTCTTTGATTTGAATACAGGCCTAAGACAGCAGCTTTTGGAGCTGTGGAGCTGGAGCCATGGGCTAGGGCAGGAGCTGTACCTCCTGCTGCTGCCTAGAGTCAGGTGCCATGGAGTTGATAGTAGCTGTGAATCAGGTCAGCGAGCCAGCAGCAGCAGCAGCACTGGTCCAGGGAGCAGGCAGGAGGGGCAAGAGGCAGGGGAAATGGGGGCCAGGCACAGGTGAGTAAGTAGCGGGGGAGCCAGGTGCAGGGGTTAGTTTGCTGGCCTCCTTTTCTTCCCTCTCCACCCCTCTTACTACTTTCTGCCTCGCAGCAGTCAGGTGGCAAATTAAAAATGGCCCTCCAATAATTTAACTCTAGACTTGGGACAGTATAACAAATATATAATTTTCCACATATAGAATCTTATTATTAGAGTTCAGAGATGTCTTGGATTTGGGTAAATACGGTACTTTGAATTTGCAGATCAGCAGGCTTTACCTAAGTTTCCTCCATCTCAAGAATAAATTTAAGGAGGGTCAAGACCCACAACACAATGCTTATCAGTGATAATAGTACTGTGGAAATGAACTAAATGAAATGGGATTTGTGTTTGTGTTTTTAACAAGGTCTTTAAAACAAATCCAGGAAAAAAAGTGCATCCAACATGCCTAACTTAGACTTTGTAGAAATCTCAGTGCAGATTGTCCTGCAGTAACTATCAGCTTGACTTGTAGAATAATACCTTATCATTATATATTTCCTGAAAGCATCTCTTCAGAAATCCTACTAAAACATCCTATCCTGATTTTTACATTCCAGTCTGATAATATGATTTACTGTTGATGAGAATCTGTCTGCATAGCTATAAACCAGTGCTCACCAACCAGTGGATCTCAATCCACCAGTAGATCTCGGAGCATCTTGTGGTAGATCTCAGAGCTTCTTAGAGTTGATCCAAGGCTGGGGTGGGAAGCTGAGTGCCCTTGTACATGCAGGCGTGTGTCCCAGTCCAACAGGTCAGTCTGTGAGGGAGGTACGGGTTGGGGGCTAGATTGAGGCCCCTGACAGTGCCACAGAGGCAGGAGCAAGGGCAAGTTGAGTGGAGCCCCAGTCAGGTGGGACTTACCTGCTGGGGAGGCGCACTCCCAAATAATTTTTTCTCCCTCTGCCTCAATCTGCCCTCCCACCGCACAGACTTACCTGCTGGGGAGGGGGAGTGGCAAGCAAGAGGGGTGGCAGCCCATGGTACATCTTTGGGTTTTTTTTAAATGCCAAAGATGATCTCCCACTTAAAAAGGTTGGAGACCACTGCTATAAACAGACATTGCAAATGCAGCTGTGCTGGAACACATCCTGCTTCATTGTGCAAAACAGATGCTGCTGGTTGTCCTGCAAGGTCAGGTTTCTGCCACTTCTGAGAATGGCAGGGGCCTGATCTTGCAGGACAAGACTTAAGGGATGCCTTTGCAAATGGAGGAATCCCAGGTTTCTCTGCTTGTTGGGATGCAAAATCTATTTTAGGCCCTGAAGTCCTAGGAGGACCTGCCCAGGTTTACAGATCCTTGGGTGTGCCTCTGTAAGTGGAGAAAGCTGGGATTCCCCTGTTTGCAGAAGCCCACCCTGAGTCAAAATTGAGGTGCAGCTCAGAAAATTGGGAAATCCAGGTAGGCACTCCCAAGGTTTTAGGGGCCCAATCCTGTGTGCCTGGTGAATTTCCCTGTAGGGGAATTCCCTGGGCATGCACAATCAAACCCCTAAAACCCTGGAAAGACATGTCCCAGGTAGCTGGAGAGCATGGACAGCTCCAGGCTGCCTGCATTCTCTGCCTTAAAACAAGTAGACATCCACTTTAAACGAGCAGCACAAATTGATACTGCCTTTTGTTGAGGCCACAAATTTAGGCTTTCTTTTCATTTTGTGCCACCATAAAAATGGGTTCTGAAGAGTGTAATGGCATTCATTCATCTGGGAAAGCTTTGTATTGAGAATGAGGAAAGCAATAAGTGAATTTTTCCAACCCCGTTCTAGGTTGATAATAAGTATAAGTTTTGGTGCTTTCCTATTTCAAAAGCTCTCTGCATCCACTTGCTATCTTTATACTGTTGCTCTAATAATGCATCTGATTTAAGATGTTTTTCTGAGACTGACAAATTTCCAACAACCATGTCTCAGCTGTATCTGAAGGAATATCCAGAGGAAGATCAGCTGCTGGTGTGGTCCAGCTTCCTGAATATAACCAAACAGCATTATAAACTACTTTTAAACTGAAATAGGATTCCTGTTGATAGCAAAACTATTCAGTAAGTGAAGCTGTACCACTGATTTGATGTTTTGGCTTAAATAGAAGGTTCCGCATGCTTGGTTCAGTGAAAGTCTCAGCTTTTTGAGCCCTACCGAAGGCTCGCTAAAGTCAGTGAAAAAAATACCCATTAATATCACTCCAGTTTGGATCAGACTTAGATCAGCTACTCTCCTTATTCAACTTGTCAGACTTGTATGTTGAATTATTGAATTTCATGCTGTTGTTGCTGTTCTAATAATGATAGTATACAACATGTGTATGCCACTTATTTCTACTTTTATGTTGTAATGAATGGTGTTGACAAAACTCTTTGAAAAGGGCAAACAGCTAGAAGCAATACTGGCCAGATTGGTGCTTGAAGAGTTAAGAAATTTACATTTTCTGTGTGCACAAGTTCAGTCCTGCAGTTTGTGGCTGTGAATATACTTTAAGTTAAAAACTGCAGAATGGACAATGACATTAGAAAACTTGGCAGATATCAGAAACTTGGCACTGATTTCCAACTGACAGCAACCCCAAAGCCAACAAGCATGTTACTAATGTTAATCCTATTTTTTATATTTTGGTTCTTGAAAAATTAAAGCACTGAATCAGTATAGCCTATATTTAACCAGTATATCCTATATCTATTAGTATATTCTATCCTATTATATATATAAAATAAATAGTGGATGTGTGTGTGTGCATGTCTGTGTTTATAATATTATTTGTATCTCACACACACACATTAAATATGATGTTTTACCAGCTTCTTTCAATATTTCAAACTATTTTTTAAATGAAAAGATGGACACATGCCATTCATTGATTGCCAGTCTCTTTTCATTAAATGGTGGTAATGTTTGGAAAGCTGCCAAATGTCTCTAAGTAATTCAGAGCATTTGTTTGCACTGTAGCTTTCCCTACACATCTCATACTAAAATCTGCCCTACTACTGAAGAAGATAGTGATGTTCATATGTTTAATAAATTCTCTCAGGTACTGATTGAAAAGCAACCACTGCCATTCAGATAGATTCTATTGTAAATGATAAGTTACAATGCTCAGTATGCAGCTGATACTTACTGGAATGGTCCACCTCTATCCATATTTGAAAGAGCTGATGAAGTCGTTTGAAGAGGAAGGCTGTGACTTGTTTGTTCTCAATGCATACACATTAAAATTAAAGACTATGTATGTATTCTAAACTGGATTTGAGTGTTTATGCATCTCCTGATATTTTAATGAACGAAATATTTTTTCTGAAATTATGAAGGAATACATAATTCAAATGTTTGAACTTTTAGGTCTTGTCAACTGCCTTTGAAGTAGAATTGAATTATAATTAGTTTTATGTTTGCCTTCTGCAGATACTTGCATTTAAATATTCTTGTTTACAGTAAAAGATGCCTTTAAAAACACAGTTTATTTATAAAGTTATGTCAAAATACATTAGAATGGGTAAGCCAAATGCATCATGCAATACAAAATATTGTGAGAAAATTGTTTCTAAAAAAGCTGACACTGTAGATTAAAGGTCCAGTCCTACTAGCAGGATATACCCAATTTCCTAATAGTGCTTGAGGGGAGGGGTCCTGGCACTGTGCAAGATTGGGCCTTATCTGAGATAAACCATAATATCCATTGCAATCTATGCCCTCCTGCAGTGGAGCTGTTTTGAGAACAGGAAATCATTAGGCATTAATATATGATAGTGTGTACACTAAAATGATGTATTGGCAGAGTCTGTACTACTACTTTTTTGGTGCAACTAAGTTGAATATTGACTTTTTTTTGCAGGGGTGAATAGTCTTTCCCAGTCATTGAGTGCCAACCCACTAATTGCAAATACTCTCATCCACCTTGACCTCTCAGGGAACGTTCTCCGGAGTGATGATCTCTCAGTATGTACATTCTTCTAATTTCTGAAAAATCTATATTTTTAATGTAATATCAAATTAGGGGGGAAATCATTCTGCATGGTCTATTTTATTTAAGTCAGCTGATTGAAAATATACCAATAACTTGGCTTCTATCTTGCAGGTAAAATTAAGTATTACATTTCCCCACACAGCTTAACTAGTTCACTTCATTTTGGTCCCATTGCTCAAGTCCTCCGATTGATCAGAAAACTGCTCATTTTCTCAACATGTTTAATGGACTAGTAATATAAACAAGAGTCCCTGGAATAGTACTGTAAAGTAACCAGCTTCAGATCTATCAAACATATCTTCTGTCTCATGGAAATAATTTTAATATTTATATTGAAAACACAAAATACTTCCATACATTTTTTCTTTAAATTTAAATGCCAACTTAATTTGTAGACAGCAAAAATTGCACTTATTAAAAAATAAAATGATTAAATGAGCCAGTGGTGTTAGGTGCCAGTAGCTGGATTTCAGACTTAGCGCACATAGCACTGATCTGTGTTCAAAGGTAAAAAATGCATTTGTCTGAATTTTTTGTGTCTGTATGAAATAAATGTGTATATTTTCTAGGGACAGAACAGGGGAAGGTCATGGCACTTTGAGGAATTAATTCTCACTGAGAGTTCATTAGTCAAGACCTTTGTGTCAGTAAAATGATGATGGTGGGGTGTAACTGTCTTTTTGTGTTAGTGAAAGACAACAGGTTCTCAATTACATTTATTCAGATATTCACCACCTCTTCCAGCCCAGTCTCTCACAACTTCTGTGTTGAGTCATGCACACCTCAGACATGAAGAATTAATAAAAAGCATTCGTTACAGGACTCCGTCTTCAGTTGACATAGTATTTGAATATTCAAATTAAAGTATCGTGGTTTTCTTGTGCCTGTGGCTTTGTGTTATTTTTCACAAATCTTGTTATCTGCTGGAGATTTATGAAGGCATTTATGAAACGCATCTTCCTGAACATAAGGGACCAGGAGCCTAATTTAGACAAAGGGAAGGATGTTGACAAATTAGGGGATTTAGAAATCAGAAAAAATAAATAGGTAAAAATGAAATAAATAATGGAGTAGATATGGGAAATTATTTTAGGGAACATTAAGATACATGGGCTGGATGAGCTGATATTGTAGAGGTCTGACTTTTCAGCAGGGCTGAGACCTGAAAACTTGTCTTAACTTTATTTGAAGTGGTGGATGCTCAAAACTTCTGGAAAAAAGCCATAATATTCTTATCTCTGCTTTTAATGGTTTTGTGATTGCCCGGATGTAACAGGAGCCTTTATGTAGGCCAGTGTATTTATGATATATCCTTGATAGCCTTTATTCATTAATATGTTTTCTTATCAAGCCTATCTGACATTATCTCTTAAAATCCCTAATACACTGGTAATATGTGTATTTAAATGAAAGCTAGTCAGAAAAAAATATGAGATTACAACACAAATTAGTTACTGGCCTAACATAGTAAAAAGGGTTGACTTAAACTTTCAAAACGGATTAGCCTTTTTGCAGTCTGACTGCCTTTCCAATCTATTTTGAACTAAAATTAATTAACACTTTCTGAAAAATGTGTAGCAAGATAAATTAAGCCATGCATGGCAAGAATACTATTTGGTGGTTGTGATACAAGCAGCATTTCTATCCTGTCATTTTAATGAGTGTTTTACTTTTGCGGTCTCGCAGGTTACGCCTGTCAGGAAAAAACAACATTTGTTGAAAATAAGGTGGTTCAATTCAAAATAAATGTGTGAAGTGTATTTGAGAAGTTAAGAGTAAATTATGGTTCTGTGGAAAATCTCTCTCTCTCTCTCTCAAAAGCTTAATATTTTTTTTTTCATATTTAAAGAACTTATACAGTTTTTTGGCCCAGCCAAACGCCCTGGTTCATCTGGATTTATCCAACACGGAGTGTGCACTAGACATGGTAAGCATTTTTTGTGGTGATTCAGAAACAACACCCCTAACAGTCTAAGTAGACTTATGTGCAGTGAACCTACATTCCTGTATTTCTCAGGTGTGTGGGGCTCTTCTTCGTGGATGCCTTCAGCACCTAGCTGTTCTCAGCCTATCCAGGACAGTTTTTTCTCACAGGTAAACATGAAAATATTATTGTTTCCTGCTCCTGAAATTATTGTACTGTATTTTTTTCTACCTACACAGTAACGTTTCTTACAAGAGTCTTAGCTTTTAAAAAAGTTGTATGTGGGAGACGTGTTATTATAGGAATCTCTGTAAATCACTCTTGAAGTGCCCCCCATAGCAGCTCCTTTAATGTTTTTCCGTTAGCTGCTCCCCCGCCAATTGGCAAAGGGGTTCTGCCAGCCAGGCTGTTTACCGCTGATGGCTAAGGAAGCAAAAACCATGGCATATTTAAAACCTCTGCCGATCAGGTTGGGAGTGGAGAGGGGGGTGGGCAAGCAGAAAAATTAAAAGCATTAAAGAAGCTGCTGTAGGGGGCGCTTCTGGCTATTTACAGAGATCCTTAGTTATATACCTCTAAAATATGTTCCATGCCTTTAAGCATTTTGCTATGAAGAAAACAAGTGTTTGTTTCTAGTGATGGGGAAACTTCCACCCTTAGAAATATTTCTGGAAGAGGGAGCAGTACAAGTGTTAGGCCTGCAACAGCCCCTTCTCCTCTGCTCCTTGCACGGTCCTGAGATCACGTGCCCACCTGGCACACCAAGCCACTCTATCTCCCTGCCAGGCTCCAACCCAGGACTTTTGACCAACCAGCTGAGACCGGCCTGTGGAATCTGGGACTGTCCCAGCCAAACCAGGATGTATGGTCACCCTGTTTAAGTAGCTTCACAAAGGATCCTGAAAGACAAAATCTGAAATCTTTTGGAATAAGAGATAGTCAAATGTGTTTTTGTTTTTGTTCTTTTTAATTTGCAGGAAGGGAAAAGAAGTCCCCCCATCTTTCAAACAGTTTTTCAGCAGTTCACTTGCTCTGAGGCAGATCAACCTTTCGGGAACCAAACTTCCACCTGAGCCTCTAAAGTAAATGCTTTTATTCATTTTCTTCTGGGGAGAATTCATTTACTGCCTATTCCAGACTGTGGCAAACCACATTTACCATTGTGTCAGCTGACTGAATAAAATTCTAGCTCTTAAGATGTATGAATATGCTTCTAAGCCTGTGGCCGTTTCTAGACTAGGATTTTTTTTAAAGTGCTTTTAAAGCTTACTAGTTAGGACACCTAGTTAATGTCTAGTGTAAATGTGTCATTTTAGACCAGCGATTCTCAACCAGGGTACTGTGAGTTCCTTTGAAGGGTGTACTTTGAAAGTGTGGTGAGATAAGCGTAGGCTTAGGCTTGTCCCTCTCTAGCTGATTTCTCCACTCCTAGTTCTGCAAGGAAGTAAGCACTTTAATGTATAAATTTGTTTTTGAAATTGGGTGTTGCTCGATTCACAAAAGTTATGGAGGGGAGCCTTGAGTCTAATGAGGGGTGTCTGAAGTCCAAAAAGGATCATTTTAAAACATGCTAAATTGGCTGAATGTAAAACATTCTTTCTTCTGTAAACTTAATCTTGACAAGCTAGCACATTTTAAACTATACATGGGTATGGTTCTATGCTATACTCCTAGCAAGTGTTATGTTGAAAATGTTAGCTAACACTTTCTAATGCCGTATCTTTTAATCTGAGTGTAGACAAAGCCCACGAGTAGACCTGTGTGGTTATGAGATGTATTGCTGTAGAAGCTGATATGTGGGAAGCAGGCAGTACTTGAATAGGTGGTTACGTATGGATGGGAGTAACCAATAGCTAAGAGCTAAATCAAAGGATGGATGATGGGGGTTCAAGCTCAAACCCTGGGATGGAATCAGTGAGACTCAAAACTTGATGTGGAATCCGGAAGTGATGGAAGAAAAGTGGAAGGGAAATGTAGGGGGTAAATAGTTCAAATACCCTAGAGTGAAAAATACCATCCCTTTGTTTTTTTGATATAGACTGATAGAGAGGAAGGCAGCATCATATAAGATTAAACAAGAAATGCTTAACCAATGTGAGAAGCTGTGTGACTTTATTATTGTAACCATTCTCTTTCCTTCTTTCCATTTTCTCCATAATAATGATCTTCCTTGTTGTGTCCTGTGTTTTAGCCCTGAATATGCTGGGAAGTTTTGTTTTTTAAGCACCACATTTCCCATGTGGTGTTTCAAAAAAAGTGGGTTTTGAAAACTGTCCTGTTTTGTCCCGATTAACCTAAGGGGTATTAACTCTGTCTTGGTAATGACAGTGTAGTGACTTGCATGCATCATAGTAATGGGAAAAATGGGCAGTCAACAGCACCGGCAAATCCTATTGCTCTCATGAAAGACACCATGAGAAAAGATCAAAGCTCATGTTTAATTTTAACACGTGAGTGGAACTGTTCGTGTGTTTATACTTAAGCATGGACCTAAGTACCTGAAGATTAAGACCCAAGTGTTTTGTTTTTCTCAGGAACCCCTTAACACACTAAGATGTGGGATTTTATTGTACATTTTCTGTCTTTGTTTTGTTTTTATATATTTATTTATTACAATATCCCTTTTATTAAAGGCTCTACAATTGTTAGGTTGTTTCATTGTTATGCCTTTGCTCTGCTTTGAGGTTTTACTTTTGTCCATGCTAAGAATTTCAAAAATGCTTCAAAGTGTAGGAGCCCTCAGTATACCTTGTTTTCATCCTCAAAGCAACTTAACATAGATCGAACAGTGCAATTCAGAAATATCCCAGGGATATTGTTTCAGTTCAGTTCTAATACTGCTTGGGACTCAGCATGTTCTTGGTAGGATTGCTTTAGTACTTTTATCTTTAATTGGAAGAAAACCCTTTAAAAATTAAGATCCTAATTTAAGTAATCAAAAAGTTAAGAAGATTGTATCGGGGGGGAGGGAATGGAAAGGTGTTTCCAGATGTATTTGGAAAAATGTCTCAAGAACTTTATAATTAATGTGTTATGTGGTACCAGTGACTTTTTGTAGTACATTTCATCTGTGTATGTCAAATATCTTTGAAGATGTAGTCCTTTGCAAGAGCTGTGGGAGCAAGGGAGAAGTTCCTTTTTTGTAAAAAAAACTCAAAAAAAAAGAAAAAAACCCAACAAAAATCCAACCGCTCTCTGCCCCCCCCTCAGAAAAACCCCCAAAAACGTGGTCACACAGAGGTTAAGAAGTTTGCTTAACAGCAGGCCAGTGGATGAACTTGAAATAGAATCCAATAGTTCAAATTCCCAGTCCTGCACTGTAACCACTAGAATGTGGAGTCTGAAAGGTGTCCGTAAAAATGGTAACAGCGTTGGCATTTGTGTAGGCATGCTGATCCAGTATTATGAGAGAAACAAGATTTGTAAGGTGTGACTACACCTTTCTTTAAAGCAGCCAATAGGGTTAGGAATGACAGGTGATGATGTTTCAGGCTTCAAGTGTCCTTTTAGGTCTGGGAAAAAAACACTCAGTCTAAGACAAGTGCAAATTAAATTAATTATTTTAACCTAGCCCAATTATATTAATGAATGTTATCACTTCAAAGAGAAATGTTGTGTTGCCACATCTGAGTGAAAGGGATAGGTGAACAGCAAGTTACAATGAGCTATAAAACCATTTTCTCTATGAAGTCCATTATTTTCAGTGTCCAGTAAAGTTGTGTATGTCTGTTCCCAGGCCTGTTTTCTAAAAGTATTGTGTTGTTTTCTTTAAAGACAAGGTCTGTGAGATCAGAGGTAGAGTCACTGTTTTATAAAATAGCACACTCTCACTAGTGATCAGGCATTTCTGTCCTTTTATCATTGTTTATGCAAGTATTTCTTTTGGTGCATAATGATTGCACAGTTTCAAAGGAGCAATTTTTCCAAGTTGTATTTTAATTTCAGCAACCTAGAAAAATACATAAATAAATAGATGACACTTGCCTTTTGTTAATTTCAAAGGGCTGAATCTATGACTCCGATCCATGGGGCAGATATAATTTGGTTTAAATGAAAGATTTATCTGGACTACTGTATGCTTTCATACTCTTGATTATGGCTCAACACACTGTCTGCACACAATGCCCTTATTTGGATAAATGGCTTGGTAAAATGGCCTGGTTTTTTATCTTAGTGTGCTGATAGTTTGGATTCTGTTATCTTGATGTGGGTTGAAATGAAGGGCAGGGAAAATACTTATTCCACTGTGTTGGAAAACAAATTGGTTTGCAACAGTTGCGCTGAATGAAAGCCCATTAACAGGTCTCCAGGGTTCATGGCTCACTCACCCATACATGTTTGTGCACCGACTACTGTTGAGATTCTAGTACAAACATTATTATTTAAATGCATGGAACCAAATTCATAACTAATGGAATTCCATTTATGTCAGTGGAGCTATGTTAAGGATTTCTTTGAAAAAACGCTGGACAGTCTTTCCCCATTTAGGGTCCTTTCTGGTGTCATGGAAGTGAAAGGTAAGGAATATCCATGTTTTTGGAATTACCATTTTGAAAGGATTAAAAATACCACAACATGGACAAATGTAGAAATATGTGTATATTTTGGTATCTTTCCAAAATAAAGGGGAGTAAGGCTAACCAGTATTTGCTTCCGAATCTTGCTAAATGTCACATTTGACATAAACAGCTGACTAGTAGTTGCTTGTCCAACCTTGTGGAAAGGTCCTTCATCACAAAACCACAACTGAATACAGAAGTATGCCTTTGAAAGTGAAAATAACAGATTTTCAAGTCACAAACTTCTAGCATTAAAATATTTTAACACCCCCTAGAAACAAAAATCTCCATCTCACTTAAAGTTAATCATGGCAGTGAGACATCAGTGCACCATGCCTTCATTATAAGCCCTGTTTTCCAAGTTTTGCAGAAAAAGCATTAGTGTACTGCCATGATTGCCCTATAATTTTGTAATAACTGATTTTTTTTTTAAGGCAGCCATAGAAGAAAATGTGTCTGTGATTAATTAAACTTTGATGCACAGTTGGTTTTACTATTTGTTGTATACATTGCTTCCCTGCAGGTTTTGGATTTACTGCTGGGGTATCAGTGTGGCAAAGAGAGTTATACTGTCATTGCCATTTCCAAGTAACAACATTAACTGGTGTGTGTTGTTTCCAGAATGGCTCTTCCTATTATGTTTTAGTACTGGTAACCTGCAGTTGCTTAGCAAACCTTTTGCTGTGGTAAATTTAGTGTTGTATAATTGTTTTTATATTGATCTTTTTCAGAGCACTCTTATTAGGCCTGGCTTGTAATCATAACGTGAAGGAGGTATCTTTAGATCTCAGTAGCTGTGAGGTAAGAACCATTTACCTGAACAAATGGAAAAGTCTCAATTATTTGGAATTACTGTTTTCCTTAGACACATGGGGCAAAATGTTCCTTTCCATAGTTAGAAGGTATAGAAAGGATTAGTAGAAAATTCCTGATAAATATAGGCTCTTGTGTGTATTGTGCCTCTCAGTTATGAGCAAAAATATTAGTACTAACCATCAGCAAGATTAGCTAGGAAATATTTTCCTAGGATATGTAGAGCACCGCACTCTTACTTGTGTGGCAGCATCTGCATTATGGACCTGTGAAGTCAGGAGGTGGAGACTGGGCTTTTCTAAGCTCTGTGCAGTCAAAGCTACATGGGTCAGAAGAAGCAACCTATTTTGAAGGAGCAGTTTTACTACTCACTAGAATTTCTTAAAGTGTATGCAACATTTCCCAAGATTCACTTTTAAACCTTGAGAGAGACTGATTTCCTTATCAATAAGGTAGGGTAGTGATTCTCAGCCTTGTTAGACTCAAGACTAAAGGAGCCCCTCAGAAAATACTTATATTAGCTTTCACAACTTTTTGATTGCAGAAAAACATTAGAGCAATTCTTCTGTTGCAAAGAACTTGGAAAGACCACAACAGATCAGAGTATTTTTGACACGATGGCTTCTTATTTGAAATCTCTGGCTTTTTCATGTGTAGATGTTTGTTTGCACACCTTACAATGATAATATTGACCAGCACTTTCCTTTCCCTTCACCCTTTTGCCGTTCCTGAAAAATAAGAAAAAATGAAAACAAAAGGCCTAAGCAGATTTATTAACTTTAGTTCACTTTGAAAGAATAAATATGTTTGAAAAACTCAACTCTGGAATATAGCAAAGTGAATTAATCCTTGATATAGGTTTATGGTTGGTCACACAGTAAGGAGCATGAGTTACATTTGGTACCTCTTTAGCTTCCTTGATGAGTAATCCATTTTAAATGCATTTAAATACATTTAATACTTTCTGTTGATGGTTGGTACCTTTTTGGAAACTAGTTTTCTTTTAAGGAGCAGTAAAAAAGCTTTCACATCAAGCATATGTGCTTTCTACTTCCAAGTAGGTGAGTGAATGGGACAATAACTTCCCCTGGGTAAGGTAGGGGTTGTTGTTTTAGAGTGCATTTTATGTTTATTTGGAAAAAAAATCTTACCTTTAAAACACCGCCCAAAATAGTGATTGGTACATAAACAGTATGTTGTTGTCCAGGGGTCACAGAAGGAACTCAGGCATTGCTTCATATGCTAGCACTAATGTGAATTTTTTCACGTGCTCCAATACATTCTGATTAGAATGCAATGGAGCACACTCACTTAACGGAGCAGATGAATCAAGTCTGCTGGCTTGTTTTAAACAGAATGCTCCAGCATGCTACAGTGTCTCGTGTATTCAGCATCCCGCGTTTCAAAATGGCAGCAGGGACACATTAACAAAAGCTCGTCGAACAAATACATGAGACGCTGCATGTGTTTTAATTAGAGCAGCTCCCTTCCACCCTGGAACACATGTATAGGCACCCAATGAGTGTGATCTGGTTAATCAGGCATGGACACTATAAGCCAGCATAAAGAAGAGAAAGCTGATCTGCCAGGTCTTTAGAACAGGACTGGGGAAAGCCTCTCAACCAGGGGCTCTGCTGTGTTGGACTCCAGGCCTGGCCCAGTCATGATGCGTTCTTGTGACCTCATAAGCCCTGTTCATGGCCTGCACAGAGATCAATCCTTTTCTTACCTTGGCCTTCCTTAGGTACGTAAGTCTGTATTGATCCATGTAGCTTATATTCTAGGACAGGGCAATAGCCTTGCTGGGGTCGTTTGACCCCAGTACTCTTTCCTGCTATAGCAGGAGGTGGGCTTGATGATTTGCTCGGGTCCCTTCTGACCTTACTAACTATGAAACTATGAAAAGTAAAAAGGGAGTGCTTCCCTTTTTAAACAGTGTTAAAGTAGAAAGGGAATGCTTCGCTCTGCCTTTTAGTTTTAAGGTTTACTGCCCCAAGACAGATGGTAAACTGGAAACATCTGTAAGGAATTAAATTAAGCCCATCCCTCTGCTGACCACTTCTCCTCAGTCCCCTCCTTGACTGTTTTCCCCCGTTAGTATAGAGGTAGTTATTCATGTTTATCTGGAGCTAGGCAGAAGGCAAGACAGTGTGACACTTTCCCACTCTGCAAGCACCTGACAAAGTAGGCTGTCTGCAGCCTACAAAAGCTCATGCTTCTCCATGCAAGTCACACTATAAGTGCCACCCTGCTTAGCCTTTTTTCTCATTACTAAGCCTCATTTTTTTTTCTTTTTTTTTTTGTGCTTTTTAAAAATAGATATGCCCCCAGTGGTCTCATGCATAATGTGGGTCAGGAAAACAACCTGGAATAAGCCTTGAGGATAACATACTTAGATCCAGTTCCTAGCAATGCTGATTTGAACTGGGCAGCTTTTGCTTTTCTATAAAGTAGCAAACACTAAGCCAGTTTCTCCATTTCCTCCTCCAGCTGCTGTCAGTGTGCAACAATAGGAAGCAGGAAATCCAGTGCTGTTCCCCTTTGCTTTTCCTGTGCTCAAGCAAGCTATTTCCAGCTGCAAAACCAGGCCTAAGATCTGAAATATCTCCCTTTCTTTTTTCCTTTTAAGTTGCGTGCACATGTAATTTTGGATGTACTAACTCCAATTCCAGACTTTATCATTTTGTATTGCCAGATTTTATTATGACAGTTGCATTTTTATTTCTTCCTGCTTAGCACTGAAATATTTCACTCTTTTCCCTTCTGCCTCCCTTAGCTTGGTCACTGTGTAAGTACCCTCCATGCTTTACCTTCAGCTTTTTAACTGTTGAATCAGAAAGCCGCTTTGTTTTCATTTCCTGCATACTGGTACCATATTTCTACCATACTTTCTAACTTTTAGTTCTTAAAGAGCTGGTTACTAATGTGTAATTTACTGGTGTTTGCAATTGCAGAAGCAGGCACACAGGATGGGTGTGCTTTTAAAACATTATGGGCCAAATTTACAAAGGAATGCTCTGTATGCCCAGTCTTTTGTAGGACTAATAGCAGATTTTTGATAACCATTTGACTTTGGGAAGCAAAGATTCCTTCACCTTCACAGTTGGCATCCTTTGATTTGTGTTCATAAACTTATATAAAATTGCAGATTTTAACTTAGAAGATGCTCTGATGTACACTTAAAAGCCTGTGTAGAATTAACATTTCTTATCCTATTCTGGATGTAATTTTAGTGTGAGAAAATTGCCCTGCACTAGCAATGTATACAAATGTAGACTGCTGTATATTTATGTAAGCCCCCTATTTTTAATCCAGAAAAGAATTGTAGTACAGAAACTGACTTTCTGATAAAACATAAGCAATAAAATATATAGAGGAAAATCTGTGTAATTGACACTCCATCATCTTAATCAAACACTATCTAAATGGAATGTTATAATTTATTTTTTATTAGAAATGAATTCCAGTGGAGGTGTTGGTTTTAATTTTGACAAGCCTCTAGTCTGTCAGCTCCATCAGTTTAGCAATAATGAATGTGGCAGCATGTGTGAAAGGGCTGTCGAATGGTGAGTGAGATTGTGAGAGTCTCAGTGAAACTGAATGATTCTGGCATTCATATGGCAGGTGTTACAAATGCTTTTAATAAATTAGAGATGGGCTGAAGTTGCACAATTTGACATTCACATCCTGTTTTCTAATGTAATCAGTTCGGGGGGTGTTCAGAGCTTGAGTTTTGTTTCAGCCCTTTGCAAGGAGAGAGGCTACAGACAAACTCTGCTCCTTGGTTTGGGTGTACCTTATAATTAGGATTTTGAGTTTTCCCAGTCTTACTTTAAAAATTTAAACTAAAGCATTAAGCTTGTGGTTTGTCAATCAGAAAACTTTAACTCTTCCAAAATATGCTAGAACATCAGTATTAACTGAAAAACATTAATACAGACTATTGCTAGATCCTGAACTAGAGATGGATTAAAGAATTGTTTTTTCCTTAAATTTGCCTCAAAATTTGCAGTTTGATTTGGGATATTTGGTCAAGTTGACCCTTTTTATTATGATGATTTCCACAGACCAACAGCCTTCTCCCATCATGAGTGAAATGGCAGTGTTATACTAAAAATATATATATCTTTCAGTTTCATGAAGTGGCAAATATTTGTCAAATTTCAAATTTACACCCATCTTTTCCTTTGATGCCATTTTAGTCTTTTCACTAAATCTTAAAACTTCAGTTGAATCCTCAGATTAACAATGGAGTAATCTAAACTATGCAGCTAGGTCTTTCTCTCTAACATTTTTAACTCATCCCCAGTTCTCAGTAAGTTTTTTTTTTTTTTTCGATGAATTTTGTTATATTTTCTAACCATCATAAAGTTTAGAAAATGTTCAGGTTTGCCATAAAAAGACCAGCCTTCCATTCATTCTTGACTTGTACCAGTTTGGGAATAACTCCCTTCTCTTTGCTACAAACATGGTGCAACTTCACACCTTCCTTTGGTACTCAGAGGTAATGCAGGACTGTCACTATAAAACTCAGTTTCTGGTAGATCTCAAGAGTAAAAACACTGTGTGTTGTCTTTGGTTGTGTTGATTGATCAACATTCTTTTGATATGAGAAGCACCCAAACATTTTTCCCGAAACGGCAAGCTGCAAATTCCAGCAGTCTCCTTCTCAGTTAAATGGATTAAACAGTGTTCTGTTTGTTCCATTTAACCCTTCACCTGGCTAAACCTTTGTCCAATACTTTTTAGGAGAAAGAGAAGATTTATTTTTGTTATATTAAGAGAAGTTAATATAATGATAATTTGTGTATGGGCTGTAGGATTTTTTTGTTCTATCGCTGTTATAAATGTTCAAACTAGAACATTAATCATAGTGAGTTATGTATCAGAAAGTTATAAATTTGCTCTTGTTTTGCTAGAGGTGATTCCTGTGTATGTACAAAACTCCTGCTGCTATTTTCTTTGTGATCTCAAAACCTTAATTAGTTGGAAAAATTGCTGATGTTTTGTCTCTAGTTGAGATCAGGAGGTGCACAAGTTTTGGAAGGATGCATTGCAGAAATACACAATATCACCAGTCTAGACATTTCAGACAATGGTAAGTAAAAGTAAAAAGGGCACAGTGTAATGCAGATATAGAAACTGATTAAGAGATGAGATTTTGGTTCTTTCGGCTCACGTTGTGATCTAGGATAGTATGCACGTTGTTGTTGTTATTATAGTAATAGCAACCAAAAATGGGACTTACTGTGCAAGGTGTTGTACAAGATGAGTAGCAGAATTCTTCTGCCCCACGGAGCTTACAAGCTAAATAGACCAAGCAGACAGATGCATAGAATGGGACAATTATGGCACAAGCAGAGTGAATGTGCAATGCCATCAGATGTCAGATTAAAACCATGGAATGTTTTCTCAGGGGGATAAATTAGGAAGGGGTTTGCTAAATTGAGTCTCTGGTTTTCTCCTCTCTGCAGTGTTCACCCAACATCACATGGCAAGGGCATGGAAACTTTGCATCATAGTGCCCTCATAGGAAGAGGTGCATTTACTCCATTGTTTTCGGTTCAGTAGGTTCCTGAGGGTGAGGGATAATCACTGTATCAACTTTGAGTTCCACAGTCCTGCAGTGTTTTGGCTCCTCTCCCTGTCAGCTGCAGCCACATTTAGCCAAGAGTAGAAAAATCAAAAATTGTGTCCATATACCAGGAGACCTTGCTGAGGACTTTTTCATTTTGCCATGGTTGGTTAAGAATGGCATAAGAGCAAAGTGAGTCCCTGCTTTAAACCTACGATAGCACTCTCTAGGCCTCAGACTCATAATGGTATTTAGGTGCCAAACACCCACTGGTTTCATTAAACACCTCAGTGCCAGCACCTGTAATTTACTAAATGAAATCAGTAGAAACTTAATTTTCTTTAGTATTTTGGGGAAAAGGCATCAGGTTTTTTTTCGTGCCCAGGAACAAAATAAAACATGGCTCATTTTGGCAGGTCAGTTTATTGACAAGCTGCTATGGTGCCCTCCTTGTTTGGCAGCTGCATGAGCCTGTTGGTATGTGTAGCTGTTGAGGTTGGGTAAATAATGCAACACATTCTCTAATTCCCCAAAGAGCAGAAAACATACCTTTTCTATCTACCAATGAGAACAATGTTTGTCATAAATCTTGACTGGTGAACTAAGGATCAGGGATTAAGTCCTCCTTCTCTTTTCTGATTATGTGCGATTCGTGGAGAGATTTAGATGGTCCCTTAAAAAAAAGAATAGCAGCTATGTGTATGGAAAAAAAAGGAAACAAATGGAGAACAAATTTAAAAATAAAAGAATGAAGAGTTAAGGGTTCCAGTGCCATTTAGGTAAAGTTGCCTAAGCAAATTAGGTTTTGCTGGTTTTGGCAAATACGTTTGGAACAGTGTATGTTTAATTCTGCGTTTACTCTGATTCTTTGCAGGCCTAGAATCTGATCTCTCAACCCTTGTAGTCTGGCTTAGTAAAAACCGATCAATAAGACACTTGGCATTGGGAAAAAATTTTAACAACATGAAATCTAAGTAAGGCTTTTATTTCTTGTAAACAGTAAGAAAATTGATGAATAAAAGCTCTTGATTTCATTGTCTCCTTTTTTTTGTCATTTCAGAAATCTTACTCCTGTACTTGACAATTTAGTACAAATGATCCAAGATGAGGATTCAGTGAGTATCCTACTGTAATAATGAATGTTTTTCTACCATTATCCTTGCACTTTGTTGCCAATGCTTTGCTTCCTTGTGTTTATTTTCTCTGTATTTTTTGACATTACACAGAGATATGTTTTTGACTATTCCAGCATTTCTTTTTTTGTGAAATAAGGGACAAGCTTCATACTGTAATTAAGATAGCATGGTTATAAGATGTGCTCTTCACTTGTTGCATGTTTATAGCTCTCTGTACATGAAAATAAAATCTGCCTTCACTGAAATAATAGGTTATTCCTCCAAATGGTCTGACATTCTTAACCCACTTTTCTCACTCATATAGGTCTACAGTCTCAGAATTTGTAAGTTTTCATGTCTGTAATGGAGATTTGTAATTGTAGGACTTTGGGTGGGGGGTGGGTGAGTAACATTTCAAATTAGCATATGCAATTTTTAATGAAATCTTTCAAGACTTGCAGAATAAGTTATCAAGTCACTTACTGTTGTTCTTGGGGAACCTTTTTGTGCTCATGTGGAATCACTTCATCCACCCACTATAGAACCCCTTTCATCTAAAAGAAAAAATAGAGAAAGAGTAAAGCAAGGTTTTCCTTTATATTTTATTGTATTTTGGATTCTTGGGAAACTCCATTTTATTGGGTCATTTTACAACCTCTTTTCACTGAGGACCCTCCTGGCATCCTTTTCATTGTTCCTTAGACTGGAACACCTCCCTTCCCCCACCTTTCCCTCCCCCACCAAATCCCTACCACCATTGTGTCATGACCATTGTTCCTGGTTTTAACAGAAAATATTTTGGGGGGCTTTGGTGATTATGAGCATAGTAGTCTTCTGCCTGCTGATGTCTTTTGGCATTACAAACATTCCTAGAAAAGCATTTGCCCAGTATGGTTTAGACAGGGAGGATCCCACCTTAAGCAGGGGCTTGGACTAGATGATCTCCTGAGAGCTCTTCCAGGCCTTCATTTATATGATTCTCCCACCTTTTCTGGCTCCTTCCGGTCAAATTATGAGTCTATTCTACTTCCCTCATTCTCCAAAATAATTGACTTTTGATTCCAGCTGCCTCTTCAGCAACTGGCTTATCTTTTTTCAGTCACCTCCGCTCCCTCACCTTCACGTCCAAGTTAATTGAATCCATAGTCTGCAGGTATTTCTTCCACTTCCTTTTCTCCTAGCCTCTTGCCATGTTGCATCTTCTCTCTCTACTCCACTGCAACTACATTCTTCAAGGTTTCTAAAGATGATGGCTACATTCTAGTCATATCTTTGGGCCACTACTTCTCCCTTAACCTTATTAGTTGCTTTTGAAACAGTTTGTCACACTCTCCTTCTTGATGTCTTGTTACTTTTTATGAGGCTGCCTTCTTCTAGTTCTCCTGAATCTTAGGGCGTCTTTAACACCCTACTCTGGTGTCCATAACAGCAGTTGGAAAACTTTTAAGGCTGAGGGCTGTATTGACCCATTTCAGGTCAGAGGCAGGAATGATGGGTGCTAGGACTCAGTTACTGCTGTTTCTTCCGAGCAGCAGCAGGGGAAAGCAACTGCTGTTGAAGCCTCCCACCACCAAAGCCCTATGTCTACAGATTGGATCAAATGGCTTTGGAAGCAGATCTGGCCTGTCGGTCGTAGATTGTCAACCCTTGGTCCGCTGGGTTTGCACAGGCTTCTGTGCCCTCTTCTCCCTTACTGTGGACTATTTCATTTCCTCACTTGGCTTCTACTTTCTGCTTCCTCATTCCTGCCATGGCTCTTTCCATCCAATTTTGTGTCATGCTGAATCTCCAGTGCTTCCTCAAATGCATCTCTGCATCAGTTCATGTTTTACATGACCAAATATAAATTCCTGAGTTACCTTCTGAAACCATTTGCCTGTACAGTTTTCTGGTGACCATGACACCATTTTTCCTACTACTCAGGTCTGTACACACCATACATCTTCAGCTCCTTTCTGTCTTTGCACATCTATGGGAGCCCAATATTGCCATTTCTCCTTACTAAAATATACCTTCATACTGCTTACCTTCCTAGGTAAATAGTTTTTTCTGACCATGTTTTCTGACCATGCAGCAAGAACTCTCATTCACATCTTTATCTCAAGTCCTGTCCTGAATTATTACAACCTTCTGTTCTTTGGCTTCCCATAATGCTGTTTGCATCTTCCTGTCAATGCAAGTGCTAAGCACTTTTCAGATCCTTTTGCTGGCTTCACCTCCTACATAATATCAGCTTGGCAGTTTGTTTTCTGTTTTAAGGCCTGATATAACCCTATCCCTTCCTCTCTACTTATCTGACCTCTTCTCTTACCATGTGAATAATGCCAGCCTCCATATGTCTTCTGTGTACCCATTGTACAGATTCAGGCTTTCTTCTATGCCACCTATCATGCCTGTCCTGAATAATCAGTGAAGTATACTCATCCTTCTTCCAGTCACAGCCCACCTTCAAGCAGGCTTCTTCTGTAACATCTAAAAGAGAGAGCCAACTAAAACATGTAATGTATTTAGACATTTGAAAAGGAGTGCCTGCCTAGCCTCCTTCCTGACAAAACCACGTGATTACATTTCTGGTAATTTGTTTCATCTTTCCCTGTCCCTTCCTTACTTATCTTGCCCTTCTCCTTTCACTGTGTCTGCAATTAGTTTGTAACTCATTGGTGTAGGGATCCTATTTATCTGCATTGTGAAGTGTCTGAATGCTGAAATGAATCATAAAAATGTCTCTTACCAGCTAAAGGACTAAGCTGTCTGAGATGTCAGAATCCAAATTCTGACATCCTGTGTAGGAAGGAGCTGAGGAGTGCTCCATTTCTGTTCACACTTCTGGAACTGAGGCATCATCACCTTTATAAGCTTAGTAGTATTGTAAACTGACTCCTAACATTCTTTTGTTTGCTTGTTGGAGTAATCAGAAAGGTGAGGGTTTTTTTTTCCGATCATTAGTTTAAGTAGCTGATCTACAGCTTTGTAAAAACTGGCATTTGCTTAAGTCAGTGGTTCTCAACATTTTTAGATTCAAGGCACTCCGCGTTAGACTCAAGGCACATCTTGGAAACTGCCAGCTCTTAGTTTTCATTTGGTTTTCGACTACAGAAAAAAAATAGAGTAATTCTTCTGTTGCAAAGAACTTGGAACACAACAGGTTAGAATGTTTTAAAAATCATAAATTCTTGTTTGGAATATCTGGATTTATCTTGTAATTATGTTTGCACACCTAGCAGTGCTAACATTGTTCGGACCCTGTGGCACACCTGAATGCACCCTGGCTGAGAATCACTGGCTGAAGCTATCCTTTTAGGTCACTGTAAGGAGAATTTGTAATAGGATACAATTGCCTGGAAAATCATTCTTATATTTATCTGTACTTGAAAAAAAATTATTGCCGTGTTGTAAATGTGCTGTTTTTAAAGGCTTTCTCACTTTCAAACTATCGATAGAGATGTGGGTGAATTACTGGTTAGTTTTCTTATGCAGCTGTTTTCTTTTTATAGCCATAATGAATGAGGAGAGAAGTGGATGAAATTATTTAAATGATTAGTAGTTTGGTATCATGTCTACAGAAGTACAACCAGGTACAAATACCACACTCCACACAATTTTAAAAGAAACAGAACACCAGGTGTTAAATATGCATGAGACTGCAATATCTGAATTTTTTGCTGTCTCCTCTATAAATAGACTCTATGCTGTGCAACCCATAAAAATTTTTATTGCCCAGCACTACAGTATAGTATCAGGGCTCTATATTTTGCATGCCTAATTTTTCTTCCTGATGCAAAAAATGGAGGCTGCAGTGCTAGCTACACATTACTCAGATCATTCAGTCCTGTGGGATGCTGAGACCCCCCTGTGTGGCATCAAATACCTTTTGACTTCAGTGTTTTTTGAAGATTCTCAGCACTTCATAGGAGGCACTCTGCATCTTTCAGGATTGGGTCTCTGGGATTTTTGAGCAGTTTTGCTCATAGACACACCAATTTAATTTGATTTTAACTCTGAATTGTTCCCAGTAGGAACTTGGCAATGTCAAATGCAGTATGCTTTTTAATTCCATTCTTGGCTCTAAGAAATATTTTTTCCTTTTTCCCTTTAGAAGATCATTCTAAAAGGTGTTTAATCTTGCGGTGCAGCCTTTGCATTCTACAGCAAGACAAACTGAAACATACATTAAATATACCTCATATCAATATCTGGCCATAACCTTTGTGTAGTACTGGAAAATAAAGAAATTTTATGGGTCATACAGTATGGCATGTATTCATAGGGTTTTTTTAAACAAAGGTACAGCTCTTTCATTAAATTCTTATGCATATTCAACAGCAGTGGTTTTGTTGGGTTTTTTTGACTGGTGTAGAGGTAAGCTTGCTTCTGATTTTATATTTCTGTAGTCATGACACCAAACAATTTAAATCATTTCCCTCATTAGTCATTCTGTAGGGAAGAAAAGAAACTATAAAAGAAAATGAATTAGCAATTCACCTACTTCTCTACCAGCGGTATAGAACTGAAAGACATTTTCAATGCAGCCCACACTGGCCATGTCTACACATGCAATTAATGTACCCGAATTTTCTGCGCAGAAAATTCAGGCACATTTATATTGTGGCTGTACATGCATCTGAATGTGCGGTAGCAAATTTGTGGGAGCAGTTCAATCCAGGGCTGCTCCTGCTCTGCTGTGCCCCCCTGCAGCAATCAAGGGGAGCTCCAGGCTCCCCTGGGTGCCAGTCCTGAGCTGGCAGGGGGCCCTGGGACTGGTCCCAATGGGAGAGCTGTCCGGGCAACCAGGGAGCTATCTCTTAGTCGCATGGAAATCAGGACAGAAGGCAGCTACCTAGCAACTGGGACACCTCCCAGCCATGTGTCTGGGAGGCAGCTGCCTGGCAGCCTGGACAGCTCTTCCAGCCACGTGGAGATCAGATTAGGTCCCAGTCCCCATGTGGCTGGGAGGCAGCATTCTGCTAGGGCAGGACAGCTGTCCCCGCCCCATGTGGCCCTCTGGACACTTTGCAATTTGCTCCCAGTCAGCATCTTCATGTGCACTTCAGCATATTAGTATAATGCACTGATTTCTAGTACTGATATCTACAGGTACTAAAAAACAGTGCATTAGATTGATCTACTGTGCAGTAATTGCTGCCTAAATGTAGATGGTGACGCTTTACTGCACATTAGAGATTAGCCTAATATGCAGCAAAGCGCCTCATGTAGATGCACCCACTGAGTACATGCTACAGTATTTATTTTTTAAGATGTCATTAGATGTGTTTATCTGTGGGAGTTACAGAATTATTTCACAGGGAATTGTTCTGAACAATAAACTATCTAATGAAGTTAATAAACTAACTTCAGTGTGCTTAATATGGCTGGGCAGGAAATGATTTCCACAATCTGTAATAATATTGTATTATGCCCTGTAGGAATGAGTGAGATCATGATTTTGTGGCTTCCTTGTATTAACAATTGCCTGTAAACAGAGAGGACTGGACTTGAGTGGTTCAGGAGGCCCCTTCCAATTATGAGTTTCTGTATTTATAAGATGTAGAAAACTTCCTATACTTAATCAGGGCAAGGAGTTGAAATCCCAGATTTTCACAGACTGGAAAAAAAAAAGCATCTTGTCAATCCAGGTGTTTAATTTTTATTCATACTTTTTTAAAACCTTACAATAGAGTAGTTAAAATGTCAGAAATCGTAGTTACCGTGACTTGAAAACAGGAATGCTTTTGAAAATGACAAAATGAGATGTATTCAAGTTCAGAATTTTTTCAAAACCATTTTTGAAAGAGGAAATTTGATACCATCCCGTTCTTGTGAACAGTTTTTTGGTGTTGACACATTAGTATTTTCTGACTGTGCCGCCACCCCATTTCCTCAAACCTTTGCCTTTCATAGAAAGGCTGCTTTTCTTTATAATGGAAAGATAGCCTCTCAAAATAAATGATAAACATTGATGCATACATCCTTCCAGGCAATCAAACCCAGTCCCTGAGGTTTGCAGGCAACTTCTTGTCCAGTGGGTCCATGCGAACATCCTTTCCGACCCCTCCCGCACCAGAGCTACAACATGCCCTTCTTAAAAATAAAATATGAGGGAACAAAAACAAAACTACAGCATGCCACAGGTAAAGAACAGGATAGGCACTGGAAAAACTGTTAATGCCTTTCTGTTGCAATGGCAGGACATACTTTAGGTTAATACAGACTCATATGATCAAAGGAGGAAGAACATGCCCATGCTGCAGAGGAAGGCAAAAAAAAGTGCAATTCCTGTCAGCCTGATCTCAGGAGAGAGGATTCCTTCTTGACCCAAAATCTAGCAATTGATTTGATCCTGAGCAAAGATCCTGCAGCCAGGTCCCTTAAGTATGAACAGGAGCACAAGCTTACTCCTGCCAAACTCCTACCTCTGGATAAAAGTAATGCATTAATGGTTGTTTCAGCAAACAAAATGATGGGAACATAAAGTCACATTTGTCAGTTTTATTCAGCTTGGGAAAATAAACTTACATCAGCATCAGAGGCACACCATGGTGTATGGGGGTACTCTAGAAGTCTAATTGAAACCAAAACCACTCGTTCCCACATACAGCAGTTTGGGTTATGAGTTTCATTCTTTAGCCAGCAAGAGACAGGAGCAACTAGTGTTATATTTGTTGTTTATTGCACTGCAGCACCTAAGAGTATATATTGTGTGTCTCACAAAGCATATAGAAGACAAAACTCATGCCTTGGGAACTCACAAGCATATCACATTTCAGTACTGGAGCAAGGGTTGGTTTAACAGGAGGGGCTAAAGGAATAAAGATAAGGTAACAGCAACCAGGTGTAATAAGAGGTATTTGCTGAAGAAAGGAGGGGTGGTTTTTTTCTGTGTTCAAATGTCCTGGTTGGCTTATTGCTTGTTGGCATTTCAGAAGAAGGAGAATCCTAAGGAAGAATTGAAATCAAGAGAAAAGCCACAGCTGGTTGAGTCAGCTCAGGGAAGTGGAGGTTCTGTATGTTAAGAGCTAGTGTGAGAGGAAGTGCACGCAAATGAGTTTATCCAAGCTGGCACCACTGATATGGAAGGAGGAAAGCAAAGTGTATTAAGAAAAACTTAAATAAATGAGGAGAGGGAGAAAACTGAAAGTTGGAACAAGGAAAGTCTCTGAATTTTACCAGCTACATTCTGTCACCAGGGCAACATTCCTCTCTCCCCACCCCCCTTCTCCTCCTCCCTACCTACCTATCTCCCACTTCTTAACACCCAACCTCTGCATTTTGCATATTGGCTTAAGTTTCTTTTCCACCCAGGGGAGACTCTCCCTATGCCTGAAGAAGGGTGTTGTGCCTGAAAGCTTGTAAAGAACAATTTTTCCAACTGTTTAGTCAGTCTAATAAAAGGTATCACATTTACCCAAAGATCCTTGTCTGCCAAAGTTGGAATAAGAAATTTGAAGCTGATGCCCCAAACATGGAGAGTCCCAGCACACATTTAGGCAATGGGGTGACAGGGTCAAATTAGTAGGAATTCAGTGTGTTTCCAGGGACAGAGTTGTCATTTTGCAGGATTGGGACCCAAAATGGTTGTCATTTATAATGCATTAAGTAATAGTGATCTTACAAATGTGCATATAATCAAGTATTATAGGTCTTATTTATGTGTTGGAATTATAAATTCTTCAGCCAGGCCAGCAATTCTTCAGTTGATGTGGTGATATGAATTCAGTTTCATTCTGAAAGTTGCATCTTTATCTTTACAAATAAGTATTTTTATTAAGTTAAATATTAGCCTAAAAGTTTTCATCACTATCCAATATATTAAATTTCCTTTCAGCTTTTGAAATCTATGTTTAGATCTGTGTTTGTTTTAGGCTAATATTTCATTGTTAAAGAATGTGGCATTTACTGTATGACCATCTCCAAAATAATTGAATTTTCTTCATCACAGACTTAAAATGAAGGATACTATGACATTTTATTATAAGATTTTGTTTTGCTGTTTTATTTGGAGGTAATGATCTAAAGCAAACCATCTATCTTAGGCAAGTACTGCTCAACTGATTGGTGTGTTTTGTATAGGGTAGCTTCCTTTCTGCTGTGAATCTATTACAGAAGCAGTTAGCAAACTGATTAAACTTGTTCTTAACAATCTTAAACAGTGTTGCAATATAAAGCTAATATGTCTTTAGACTACTCAGTGAAATGAAATAGGGAAGGTTGTACAGATTAAGAGAATTAACATAGTAATTTGAGAGGTTTTTTTTTTTAATGAAATTGATGGATGCCTTTTGTCATTATTAGGCGTTTTAATTATAAGACCACACTTCCAAATCTCTACATGTTTTCTCTGTATAAATGCACATTTCATTGTCACAGACTTTTTGGGTATTGTTATAACAAAGTGGTTTCTAGCAAATAGGGCACAGAACCTCTTGATCTGTAAAGATTTTAGAGTGAATATACAGTTGCAATTGCAGTAGAAAAGTTGGTTAAAAAAATATTTAGATATAAATGCATCAGTATTCCACAGTGGACAGTAATCACAGTTACCTTTCTGGTCAACTTATCCATGTCCACAAGGTACTTTTCTTATTCATAAAAAAATTGAGGCAGACCATCCAGACATTATTTTTTTTCCTTTAGAAAAGAATCTTTAATACAGGTTTCTGTAATATTTCCATAATAAAATCTCATAAAGAAATGAACTGCACAATGAGATTTACAGGTCATTTTACTGGTTCTTAGTTGTATTTCAGGGATTTCAGATCAGTGTGTTATGTGATATTTCTTATGTGTTCTGATAGCTTTAATGAACACAGAGAGGAATATGATACAAAATGTTCACCCCAAGTTTTTCGGAGGCTTATAAGGAGGACACCCTCTTTTTCTTGGTGTATAATAGAAGAACGGATCCTCAACTGTATGCTGTTTACATTTTCCTCAGCCTTTGCAGTCACTGTCCCTCGCAGATTCCAAGTTAAAGACTGAGGTTACCATAATTATCAATGCACTGGGCAGCAATACTTCTCTTACAAAAGTGGATATTAGTGGAAATGGAATGGGAGACATGGGGGCAAAGATGCTCGCCAAAGCCCTCCAGATAAACACCAAACTCAGGTATGGAAAGCTACATTTTTGTTCAGAAGGATCACTTGTTCAATGATGCTGGGATTTCATTTGCCGTATTTTTTTAATCCTGTTCTCTCCATGGTCACTGCAACTGCTAGGGAAGTCACTTTTCAGTGTTGTTGATCATCAGTTCTTCCAGAAGTGGAAAAGTAGGAGAGGGGAAAGACTTCCCCTCCAGAAACTGTCCATCTGTCTCTGACTGACTTGACTGTGGCTGGAGCAGTCTGCTTCTGGTGGTACCCAGTGCTAGCTATGCCAAAACTTGCTGATGTAACCCAATCTGACACCCCTTCTGTTTGAAAAAGAAAACAGAAATTACCCTGCAAAAATGTTAAGGAACAGAAGAAAAATAACTTGACTATTAAAACCAAAAATGTTTAGAAAATCACCTTTAGGTGTCTATCCTAAAACCTCAGTAGACTACACACATCAGTCAGGGACAGAATAAGTCTTTCACTGCTGCAGTCTTTGCACCATCTTTCAGGAAAAATCCAAATCCTTTCCTTTCAAATTCTGGACTGGTGGGATCTCAGCTTGCTGCAACTTTAGTTCCTCTTTCATTTCCCAAGTAGTGATAGTCTAATTGCACAAAGTGTGGAGAAAAGTAACAATTGAAGCATTTCAAACTCCTTTGAAACATTTCAGAGGACCAGCTGGACAAACAAATGTGTCCTCTGAAGATCCCAAAAGCAGCGAAAGCACTCCAGAGCAGTACCTTTCTAAATGAAGTATTGTTTTGCAGCATTTCACTTTTGGTTCTTCATGCACAGGGACAGAGAGGGGGAGTTTTCTATTTGTCCAGCTGCAGGGTCCTACTTTGGGCCCCAGGGTGCTGCCAGGTTCCCACTAGGACCACCTACACTTCTTGTAGGGATCCCCACCCCCTGCCAGACATGTGCTTACCTTTGCTGGTGTTGGAGCCGGGCTGGTGCTGGAACTAGGTTCCATCCCAACCACTGCAGGAGCTGGGTTCTGCAGCCCTAGTCCCCTCTATCTCTCTACTTGACTAAGATGAGAGGCTTAGAGATCTGAGGCTGGAGAATTAGGATCACTGCTACCTCCCTCCACCCCTGCTTACCTCTCCACTCTGGTGGTCTCTGAGAAGAGAGGGGAGTGGGGCAGCAAGTCACTGGAGCCTCCCTTAGCAACCCCTGGCTTGTGCTAAAGGAGGCGGCTGTGTTTTGAAATTTTCCAGCCCCAGAATGCCACAGGGAGGCTGTATGTATATCCCTTGGCTTCAGTCATTTTTTTTAAATGTTTCCAAGCCCAATTCACTTGGAAACATTTCAGAAGTTACTTCTGTCTAAACTCACATTGTGCCTCAGAAGCACCAGATCTTTTCTGCTGTAGGCAAGCACCATAGGTATGAATAAGAAGGGGAAAGTGTCCTTTTCCCTCAGAAGTATCAGAGCTGAGAAAACCTGGGAGCAGACTGGATTCAGAATACTTATCTGCAGGTGTGTCACTCCAGCTAACTAGTACAGGAGGGAGCCACACAACCTGTCCTCTGTGTTCTCGTCTACACAATGCTTTCATCATGCTTTTAATTAATAGCTGGCATGGATACCTTAAAATAGTAGTTTGCATGGCACATGGCTAACAGGCAGTAGATCTTGATGCTGCTTCCTGTCTTCTGGCAGGGTAACCTGACAAACGGTTTGAGTCTTTGTTTAAATATTTAAACACAGGGCTCTTTGAGCATTTATAGATATGCTCTGGGAGTATGTGAAGAGATGGAAAGGAGTGCTTTAACTAGAGCAGCTCCAAGAGCCGGTCTAATTAAAGTGCCTGGAGCTTCATGTGTATCAGTATCCCTGCAGTGAAAAATGATGGCAGGGTCAAATGAGCTGTAGTTAAAGCAACCCTGTGGCCATTTTTCAGCACAGGGACACTGATGCATATGATGTTGGAGTCTGCTGGAGCATAGTAATTGCCATGCTCCAGCAGACTCAATTAATGGAGTCTGCTCTGACATGCTGCACATCAGAGCAGCCTTGCTCCATATATATAGGCACTCTTTGGCTCTGTGGTCCCACTTCTCTGACCATGTCACTGTAATCAGTAAAACTAGTCTTCCCTCATCCTGTAACATTATGCACTTACACATCCCACAATGCATTTTTCCATTTGTTGAAGATACACCATATAGTGCTTTAGGTCTGGTGACACTGTTCCCAAAGAGTAAGCTGTCCCACAGGACAGTCCTGGCTACATCATTCAGTAGCAGGGCTGGCAGCTTGAAATGCCTGTAATTTATTTTGCTGAGCTTAGTGCTCACATACTAAGAAGGTCATTGAATAATGAAGCTTTCAAGCAACAAACTCCAGAAGGTAGTAAATACTAGCCTGAAGTGACAGGGGTACCTGCATGATGTGAAATGGCCACTATCTCACTAGGGTCTGGAGTAAGAAATCTCATTATCCAACATGGGAATTGGAAAGGTAAGTGGCTCTAAAAATAAAATGATCATGGTCCTTGGTGCAGGGAACTGTTACTTGAAACCTCTGGAGTGGCAGCCTAGAACACCTCACAGGACATGGGCAGAGTACCTGATCTCAGTTCATGATGGCAAAGAGCTACAATGTATTCACATGCTGAACAGTATGGCTTGCAACTGGTTACATTACAAAATTGTGTTGTGATGTTAGCAGATAGGCCTAAATCTCTTGCAAATGTGGGATATGTATGATACTATCTCCAAACATTTCTGACTGTAGGGAGAGAAGGTGCCAAACCACCATTTCTCCACCTCCTAAAACAGAGACAGAGAAAATCTTGTTGATTTCCAGCAGAAAGGTGACAATATGACTGTCAAAACTTTCCTGACAGGGAAACACCTCAACTACAGGTGCTCTAAAACAAGTGTACATCTGGTACACTATTACCTCCTCAATACCAGAGCGAACCTACTAATCTTTTAAAAAGTGTCCATTGACTAGATAAAATGAGACCATTTTCTTGGCCACAAATTGCCTTGTAATGCAAGATATAGACCTGTGTATTGGGTCGGGGGCATCGGGAATTGAATAGCTGTTCTCAGGTTCAAAGGAGCAGCAGCCTAAACAGGTACAACTGGTTAATTTTTTTTACCATGATTTTTCAAGCTGCATATCTAATAATAAATCGGTGTACCAACTACTGCATATTGCTTATTGCAATATTGCATATTGCTTTCAGACTGCATTGGAAAATTTAAGCAAAAATTTGGAAAATAAAATTAGTTCTATGTAAATTATATGTTGTATAATCATACCTGAGAAGAGCCTCCTTTTTTTAAACAAAATATGCCTCCAAAGCGAAAGCTGAGAAAGTTTGGACAATTTAGAGGTAAATTAATTGCTTTTGTCTTATAGAAATGATCCTTGCATTATATTTTCCCATTTTTAATATTAGAGGCAAGTTGAATTTAATATCACGTTAACTCTTTTTCTAAGTTTCTAAGAAACTCTATTATTTCAGTTTTTAGCTAATAACACAATGTCCTTTTCTATACATGTTTGACACACAACTGCTTGATCCAAAAGGACCCAATTCTATGGTGTTTATAAAAAAAAAAAAAGAGAGAGAGGGAAGCTATTTTTTAAATGAAAATAATTGGTGAACTTTGTTTAATCTTTGTTTAATTTTGTTTCCCAACAGAACTGTAATATGGGACAAGAATAACATCACTGCACAGGGCTTTCAGGATATAGCAGTGGCATTGGAAAAGTAAGTTTTATGGAAGCTGAATGACTCAAGAGTGGGTACATTCTGAATAGCTGAAATTTATGCTGACATCATTAAGATTTAAAGATGATCAGCACATCTCGCTTTTAGGCCTGTGGGATTCAGTTTTAAAGTAGAAGTTATGAAATCACAAAAGGGTAAGAAAAGGCTCTTTGACTACCATCTTTGGTTCCTTCTTCTACCCCAGCTACAGCCACTACATCCCGTGCATTCTGAAACCAATGTTAAAAATTTGTGAGTTTGAGGTATACTCTTTCATGGGAGAGACCGCACAACAACAGGGGAGCTGCTCCACCTCCAGCCCTGCCCCAGGTTGGGGCCAGAACCACTGTTCTGTCTGGCCAGAGCCATGGTTGGAGCCACCTTGTGCTCCATGCCCCATGCTGCAGCCAGGGCCAGGGCTGGGGCCATCTTATAGGTGAAGTGGCTGTGGGGGGAAGTGTGGGAGGGTGGCAAGGTGCAGGGGGCGAAAAGAGCAAGGGATGTGCCCCCCTGGCACTCCTTTCCCTGTCACTTTCCTCACTGCTGCTGCTTTCCCTGCCACAGCAGTTGTGGGGTGGGGAGGGGGTGCAAATTACAACAAGCCTCTAATAATTAGATTATATACATGGCAAATTATAACAAATTTATCATTTTCATTATATAGAATCTAATTATTGGAAGGTTGTAATAAAGTCTAGGATTTAAGTAAGAACATTACTAATGAGGGTTCCACGAACTGCAGTTCTTCATTACAAACCCTATGATGGGGTGGTCTCCTTAAATCATTGTGGTCACGGATACAGAAACACCAGAGTATCAGGCACTGAATCACTTTGATCTGTCTCTGTCCCTTTCACTTTTCTTCATATGTGATGATTGCACTTCTTAGGGGAAAAACTGTAGATTTAAATTAAGCAGCAGTTGCCATTGTTTCACATCATTAAATCCCCATAAATGGGAAAACAAAAAGTGTCTTTCGAAAGTGATGATCATAGACAATTGCTAGTCTCCAGACAAGATAACTTGCAAAAATATACAGCTATTTGGGATAGCCTCTTAACCCTCTGGAGTATCATAACTTTTGTGATTGAATTCATCAGCTAGATATATATGGCTTGTAAGGGATACTTGTATTTTATTATCTCATATCAAGGTGAACTGTGTTCCACTAATGCAGGAATTGATATAAATTATGTATAATCACGAAAATAAATAAATCTGAAGCAGTTCCAGTCATATTAATGAATCATCAACAGTATTCACAAAGGTCTTTTGTCAGTTTACAGACCTTACTTGACAAAGCTATAGCACGCAAACTTATGGGAATAGTCAGGGGAAGAGAATATATGGTATTTTCTGATAAATATTGCATTTATTTTTTCCCTTCTGACCTGCCAAGAAACATAAATAAAAGGGGAATGCTAAGGCAAGAGTAAACAAACTAGACAGGAGACGGAAACATTAGTTCAAATATCATGGCCTTGCCTGTTGTAGAGGGTGATATCTTATTTATTTAGTCTGAAAGCTGAGGTCATCTTCTTTCTCCTTTGATGTTTCAAACCCCTGTTAGTATCACAACCAAAGCCATCAGCAGTGAAGTTTTAAACTTGCAAGACAGAGATTCTTATCAACAATCTGGAAAAAAGTTAGCAAGTAAACAAATCAATTTCAAAGACATATTGGGAACATCTTCCATATGTTTCACACAATCCATGACAGGCTGCCAATTTTCTACAAGGGGAAAAAAAGTCATCCTTAACAGAAAAATACATTGTAAATCATAGAAAATTAGGGTTGGAAGGGACCTCAGGAGGTCATCTAGTCTAACCCTGTATTCAAAGCAGGATCATCCAGAACTAGATCATTGTAGCCAGGGTTTTGTCTAGCCAGGCCTTAAAAACCTCCAAGGATGGTGATTCCATCCCTCCTAGGTAACCTGTTCTAGTGCTTCACCACCCTCCTAGTGGTTTTCCTAATATTCAACCTAAACTTCCCTTGCTGCAACTTGAAACCATTGCTCCTTGTTGTATCATCTGCCACCACTGACAACAGTCCAGCTCCATCCTCTTTCAAACCAACCTTCTGGTAGGTGAAGGCTGCTATTAATTCCTCTCTGTCTTTTCTTCTGCAGACTAAATAAACCCAGTTCCCTCAGTGTCTCCTCAGAAGTCATGTGCCCCAGCCCCCTCACCATTTTCACTGCCCTCTGCTGGACTCTGTCCAATTTGTCCACATCCTTTCTGTAGTGGGGGCCCAAAACTGGACAAAGTACTCCAGATGTGTCCTCACCAGTGCAGAATAGAGAGGAATAATTACTTCCCTCTATCTGCTGGCAACGCTTCTACTAATGCAGCGCAGTATGCCGTTAGCCTTCTTGACAACAAAGGCACACTGTTGACCCATATCCACCTTATTGTCCACTGTAACCTCCAGGTCTTTTTCTGCAGAGCTGCTGCTTAGCCAGTTGGTCCCAAGCCTGTACCGGTGCATGGTGTTTTTCCATCCTAAGTGCAGGACTTTGCACTTGTCTTTGTTGAACCTCATGAAATTCCTTTTGGCCCAATCCTCCAGTTTGTCTAGGTCACTCTGAATCCTAGCCCTACCCTCCAGCATATCTACTACTCCCCTCAACTTGGTGTCATAGGTGAACTTGCTGAGGGTGCAATCCATCCCATCTTCCAGATGGTTAATGAAGATATTGATCAAAACCAGCCCCCAAAACCAAACCCTGGGCACTCTGCTTGATACTGGCTGCCAACTAGACCTCAAGTAATTGGTCACAACCTGCTCAGCCTGACAATCCAGCCAGTTTTCTTATCCACCTTACAGTCCCATCATCCAACCCATACTTCCTCAGTTTGCTTGCAAGAAGGCTGTGGGAGATGGTATCAGTAGCCTTGCTAAAGTTGAGACATATTACGTCCACTGCTTTCCTTGCATCCACAGAGCCAGTCTCCTCATCACAGAAGGCAGTCAGGTTGGTAAGGCATAACTTGCCCTTGGCAAATCCATGCTGACTGTTCCTGATCACTTTCTTCTCCATGTGCTTAAAAATGGATTCCTTGAGCACCTGCTCCATGATTTTTATGAGAATTGAGGTGAGGCTGACTGGTCTGTAGTTCCCTGGATCCCCCTTCTTCCATTTCTCAAAGATCGGCACTGTAGTTTCCCTTTTCTAATCATCCGGGACCTCCCCTAATCTCCATGCATTTTCAAAGATAATGGCCAGCAGCTCTTTAGTCCTATCAGCAAACTTCTTCAGCACCCTCAGGTACATTGCATCCAGCCCAATGGACTTGTACATGTCCCAGCTTTTCTAAATAGTCCCTAACCTGTTCTTTCACTGCTGAGTGTTACTCCCCAAACTGTGCTGCCTGGTACAGTAGTCTGGAAACTGACCTTACCTGTGAAGACCAAGGTCAGCTTGAGTACTTCAGCCTTTTCCTTATCTGTCAGTATGTTGACGCCCCTCCCCTCCCCTCCCCCCCCCTTCCATTCAGTAAGGGACCCACACTTTCCATGACCCTTTTGTTACCCTTCTTCTTACTCTTCACATCCCTTGCTAGCTGCAACTCCAGCTGTGTTTTGACCTTCCTGATTTCATCCCTGTAAGCCCAAGTGATACTCTTATGCTCCTCCCTAGTCATCTGTCCAAGCTTCTACTTCTTGTAAGCTTCCTTTTTGTGTTTAAACTCACTGAAGTGTTCTCTACTAAGCCAAGCTAATCACTTGCCATATTTGCTATTCTTTCTGCACATCTGCATGGTTTGTTCCTGCACCCTCAGTAGGCTTCTTTAAAATACAACCGGGTGTCCTGGACCCCTTGCCCCCTCAGACTGGCTTCACAGGGGATCCTGCCCATCAGTTCCCTGAGTGAGTCAAAGTCTGCTTTTCTGAAGTCCAGGGTCCATACTCTGCTGCTCTCCTTTCTTCTTTTTGTCAGGATTCTGAACTCAGTGTACCCTCAAAAATATTTGAGGGTATTTTAAAAATGTTTAGGACTATAATTTTGTACTCTGAAAGTATACCCATGTACACCTGAAAGTATAGGCTTCCTTAGTATGCTGAGTCCAATTGTACAGAATGTGGAAGAAAAGAAAAATATAACAATGTATTGTAAAACACATCTGAAACCTTTTTTCCCCTTGCAAAAAGATTTTGTGAGAATGATATTTCTGTTATAGAATTCTGTATGCTCTACCAAGAGAACAATGGAAAAATTAACTCTTTCTATAAAACGTGGAGATGAAATTCTCCTCTGAAATCCTCAATTCAGGAAAGCATTTAAAAATGTAGCTAAGTCCGTACATACTTAATCAAGCTATTAAATCCATGTCTGCATCCCGCTAACATTAACAAGGACATAAGTATGCGCTGTGCTAAATCAGGGGTTATATTTTTGTAGAACCGTAAGACATCTATAAATGTGCTCTGGGATGGGGTTGGGAAAACATTTTAATTAGAGCAACTCTTGGGTGCTGCTCTAATTAAAATGCAGTGTCTTGTGTATTCAGCATCCCATGTTTCAAAATGGTGGCAGGAGCGCTTTAACTAAAGCTCATTCAATGAGCTTTAGTTAAGGCACCCCCACTGCCATTTTGAAACATGAGACGCTGAATACATGAGATGCTGCAGTACGCTGGAGCATTCTGATAAGAATGCTCCAGCAGACTTGATTCATTAAGCAGTCTCAATTAATTAAGCAGAGTATGTATATAGGCACCCATACTGTATTATCCAGTATTCAATACTAAAGAATTTTTCCAGTAGGATTCAACAGAGAAATATCATAGCTTCTAAAATCTAATCTCTCAGGTCTAAAAGCCACTGCTGGGGAGTTGGGAATCTTTCTTTTCCAGTGATATAAAGTTCACATTTTTCAGATGCTATATACTAACATTGTATAACTGCCATAATAGCTTCTCTTTCTGTTGGAGCAGAGTAAGCAGTGAAGATATTACAACTATTTTGTTACTTGCTACAGCAATTTAGTCTGCAGAGCAAATTGAGTAGGGTACTGCAGGAAAAATAGCATGTGATAATAGTTTTTAGTTTATTGCAACGTATGTGATACATACAAAGGAAAAGAAATTAAGTTGTTTGAACATCTTTGACTTAAGCATTTCCTGATCTCTGTGTGCTCCTCTTTGAAACTTTACATTCTTCTGTAGGGCAATTTGTAGGGAATATAATATTGCTCTGAATAAGCAAAATTGTATGTTTTCAACCTGGAACTGAACTTTACTAGATTATTGAGTTCTTAAGGAAATCTTTTCTTGTTACTATAGACAAATGGTGCTTTAAGAAGAGAAATAACAAAAATGGAGGGATATTTCAGACTTCAAAGGAAGCTGAGAAAAATAGAGTAGTGTGAGGATAAATATCAGTTGCTCTGATGATCAAAGTTTCATGCAAGTTCTAAATCTTTTATTTTCCCAAGAGATGGTTAATGCAGAGATGAAAATAAACTAACACTCCGGAACAAATGCTGTGCTTCCAGAAAAAAGTGGATTATAGAACTTTCTGTGGAGTAGTGTTCATCTAAGGTTCTGACTCCATGGCTATGTGCTCATGGAGTTTCCTTGTGTTTTGGATCTTTTCCACCTCCCAGCTGGGCTCAAGTCTTTGACTACATAGAATTTAACATACAATTACCAGCATGAGAGCCGGCAATTTTAGACTTCACTGAATGTGACATATTAAATGTCAAACAGCTGCAGAGATCTTTGGAAATCCACTTTCTTTTTTTTTCAAGCAATGCCAATTTTTCTCAGTCAGGTATTTTCCCCTGTCAGGAAATCCACAACTTCTGCGGCCATTATTTATCTTTGACCTGAGCTGATTCTCATATTTTAAACTAGTCTCCCTGCTAGTGGAGGGCCAATTCCTGATTATTCTCTACCACGTGGAGACACTTGAGTTTCTGTAGTATAGACAATTCTTTTGATGGGTAAGGGAGCTGCTATAGCAAGCTCTTCTGCTGCAATACCAAAGTAGCCAGTTGAATATTATTAGGGGGTCTACCTAAATCGCAGTGGGGGGACTTAACAATTTTTGTGGGTTGGTTGCAGTGTAAAGTTTGAATTCCATGGTCATTTTGCAGCAGCTCCATCCCTTGGCAATGATTGGCAAAGAGGTCTCAGGGGGAGGAGGAACAAGGGGGCAGTCTCCGTCTTGATTGCTGGCTGCCTTTTTTGCCACCCCACACCTCACTGCTGATTGGCAGAGAGACCCTGGTGGGGAGAGGAGGGACAAGAGGGCAACCACCATTTTGTCTGCTGCCCTTCATGTCACCTTGCCAGCTGGTGCCTTCCCCTCATGTCAGCGAGAGCCACTGGGGAGCCAGCATTTTATTTTTATCAAGTTTTTTTGGTTGTTGATTTCATGGACAATCCTGGATTTCATGGTTTCCGCAAAATCTGCAAAGCCACAAATTAAGTCAGTCCCTAACTTGTGGAGGGACAGAGATCCTATTGCCTGAACAAAGACTATCAGGAACCTCCTCTCTACAAGTCCATTTATAGGACAAAGGAAAATCACCTATGAAAGTTCATGCCTCTCTGAACAAGTTAGTCTATAAGGTACCACATTGCCCTGGCTTCTGCTTCAGATTAACACAGCTCTCTGTTACTGGATTTGTTAGCGAGACCAAGTCGGAGAGTGTGGAGGATTGTGTTAGTTCTCAAGACTTCAAGATGCTTCCAACTAGACCAATTAATGGGATGCGAGTGGATTGAAGTGAGTAGAGTTGCACCCACTTATATCTGGACTGAATTGGATTACAAAATTTAATTTGAAAATATTTTAAAAATAAATTAATCTAAAATACATTTTAAAAAATATTGATGATTAAGAGTAGGATACTTAGCTAAATACTTATAAATGCAAGGGGAATACATTTCTGCAGGGAGTTGCATCTAACAAGAAATGCCAAAAGGGGACTTCCTTTTATTTTTTCAAGGACTTCTGTGATTTTTTTTTCTCAACATCTAGTCTATTCCTAAGAAGTTGTACACAAGAAATGGGATGCAGTTGAGTTGCTACTTCAGGGGGTGTTTTTTGTGTGTTTGTTTTTAATATTTGTTCTGTTAACCAAGTTACCTGCCCAGGGGTTAAATGGCAGTTTGACTCAAGTCAAAATTCAATGCAAAATAGATAAATGTGGCTGCAGAAACATTTCCCAAAGAAAGACAATAAAACACAGGAAATGATTGTTTATATAAAATATCATGGAAGTGTGCTTACTGGTGTATATGTTTTGTCAACTGCTATGAAAGAAACAATGCAGCAGTTAGGTAAAACTCAGACAGCTGTTTATAAAGGAATACATTAAAAGATGTATTTTCAAAACAAAAAATAAAGAAATATTTGTTGCATTCAGTCCAAGGAATCTCCACTCAGGGAATGGTGCTGATAAGGTGGTCTGTCTGTCTGCCGCCCTCTCCCCACAGGCCTCTAGGGCCTATAACTTAAAGCCTTCTATCTCCTTTTGTTTTGTGCTGCGTCCTTCCATCTTCATCTTCACCCTTCCCTTCCAGCTCTTTATATTGTTTTTATAAAACAGTATAAAAAGTTTTTATATTGTCTTCCCATTATTACCTTGATCTACCTTCAGGTCTGATACCCTCCATCTCAGTTTCCAAAATCTGACTCGCGTCTCCTCTTGCCCTGCATGATATGCCCTGTTAGGGTTGTCGCTAGGAGCTAATAATGCCTGATGTTTCATGTAAATAGAAAAACACAGATAATGTAATCACACAGGTGGATTTTCAAGGCCCAAAGGGCAGTTAAGCTTCTAATTCCCATTGAAAGCAACTGGAAGTCAGGTACAAAATTCCTTTTATGCCTTTAAAAAAATCTATTTCCCCCTCTATCTATCTACAAAGAAAAGGACTTCAAATAGGAATGCACTTGATTTCCTACAAGTTAAGTCAAAATAGAACAACAACAAAAAAACTTCTTACAATGAAACTGGGAGCTGGCAGTTCAAGTTGTCTTAACTTTTTTTGCTAGTTTATTCTTTGTAATTGGATTATCATTTAATATTACAATTTCCTTTTTTTCCAGGAATTATACTTTGAGGTTCATGCCAATACCTATGAATGATGCTTCTCAAGCACTTAAAACAAACCCTGAAAAGACAGAAGATGCACTGCGAAAGGTATTGCATATACAGCCCATACACAAAAAAGCACATAGTAATGTTAAGTGGTTATGCTTTCAGGCTTGGGTAAGTAAAACTTCTTTGTTAAAGTCATCAAGCATTAGACTTACATGGACATATACAAACATGTGGAGGGGTTATAGTAATAAAAAATTATTGTAGTACGGGAAACTTTTTTTAAATTGAGAGCTATTGACCACAGTGGCTTATTACAGTCAGTCATAAAAGAAGGTAATGCTAATTAAACTATATACAGTATATTTATTAGGGGTGTGCGAAACGGGCTGTATTTGATTTGGATTCAGCCTGAATTGGGGACAGTGATTCCATTTGTTGATTCAGATCACTGTCCCCGATTTGATTTGGCCGAATCTGAATCTGAAGATTCAATGCTGATTCCAAGAATCAGTGATTCAGCCATAGACGCAGCTTTAAATGTTTTTTTTACATACGTTGAGATACTAGGCACAGCTCACGAATGCTGCAATGCTGGGATGGATGGAGCGTCCCACAGGAGCACGGGGTAGCCCCCCAAACCACTCCCCTGGCTCAGTAAAACATTTAAAGCTGTGTCTGTATCCAAATCGTTGGATCTCTCTGAATCAATTCAGAGAGATTAAAGGGTTGCCTGATTCAATTCGGATTTGGCCACCAAATTGGGCCAAATCTCCACTGAATTGAATCGGAGAATAAAGTTTCGCACAGGCCTAATATTTATGTGTGAATGTAATATGTATTGGTATTACACGTGGCATATCTGTGTTGGTGTATGTGTTTTTACACTTACAGAAGTATTTGTGTTCATTTTGTTCTTGTTGAAGAATGGCAAGTGTGTTCAGCAGTGCGCAAGACAAAAGAAGATGAGAGGGGCTGTTAAGGGGTAGACAGCAGCATATTTATGGGAGATGTGTATGTTGTATACCCAGAAAGCACATGCAGCATAATCGTACATTAACTTAACTGCATCAAGTGCTCTTTGGAGTGAAGTCTCTGTTGACAGTAAATTCTGTAGCTGTCCAAGTCATGCAGACTAAAGCACTCACAACTGAGCTTTCATACTTTAAACAGGTGTGTGGCCAACCTGTGGCACATGTGTGACAAATAATATGGGCAGCCTCTGTTTGTGGCATGCAGCAGCTCAAGAGGGACAGGTAGCACAGTGGCAGATAGAGCAGGAAGCCGAAAACAAACCAGCAGGTCAGGCAGGGGAAAGGGGTCTCATTGGCATTCAGGGAGGGTGTGGGGCTTTTGTGGCCCACATGCTGAAAAGCTGGGTCCCCCATGCCAGCCTAAAGTAGTCTTTTATAAATCAGGAAAAATGTGTAGTCCACAGCTTTGTAATGAAATATTTTTCTTTAATAAGGGTGGGAGCACATAAAAGCCCACAAACAGTTTTTACAGGCAGCTGTGATGAAGTAACATCTGTTTGTGAGCTTTATTACAGCAAGGAAGGCTGTAGATAAATGGCTTGTTAAAGGGAAAGATTCTGGGGGCTTTTTCTTTGATATATTTTTTCATATATCCTGATTCTTATTTTTTTAAACTTGGACCATGGGGATTATATCCTGTATGAAACATTACTATTTACCTAGTGCAAGTATAAATCTTATTTAGATATGGACAGATATTCATTTGTAGTGCTATAAAAATAAGAGCATATTCCAGACCCCTGGCTAGAAAGCTACAAAAGTCACCTCAGGGGTGAGCTCTCCAGCCATGGGGGGGATAGAGGCTGGTGGTTTGCCTCTCCCATCCCAACCTCCCACCTCCAAAGGAGCCTCAGTCATCCATATCACTGACAGCCTTCCTTCTCTAGATGGATGTCAGTGATCAGCAGCTGTCCCCAGTAGCAGCACTTTCCACTATTGCCATGGGATCTTCCCATTGTTTCTGCTGGAGCAGAAAGAACTGCCACAGCCTTTGTTGAAAGTGCTGCTCTTCCCAGTGTTGCTTTGGTGTCAAGTCTTCCTGCTGTGACTATCACCACAGGCCAGGGACTTTTTCTAACTGTTCCCATCAGAATTGTGGAAGGAGGAAGAGCTGTCACACCTATCATTGGAGAAGGAGAGACAGAGCAGAGGACTGGCATGCTGGGGTCCAAGGGGCTCTCCTGTAGCAGTACATGTACCTAAGCAAGTGCACTGGCATTTGTACCCTACTAATGTAATGTCTGTTCATGGCCTTTCTCTATATCAAAAGTGAAACAGAGTTATCTCCTAAGAATCTTTGGAAGCCTACATTTATTGTATACCATTTTTAACAGAACTTTTCAGGCCTCTTTCATACATGATAAACAACCAGAAAAAAAAGGGCAGGTTAAAAACTTCAAAAGTGCTTAAGTGATGTTGGAGCATATGGCCATGAATAGGTGTTTGTTTCTGGTGGGAGAAATTTCCACCACAAGAGATGTTTCTAGGAGAAGGACCAGAATAGGTGTTCAGCCTGCAGCTGCCCCCTCTCCCTTGGTCTGGGAGAGACATGGGGAACAGTGGCTGCCCCAATTCACCCATTCCGCAGTCCTAGGCAGTCCCTGGTTGGGGAAGGGTGGGGTGCATTGCTATGATGCTTTAGCAAGAGCTTTCTTGGCTCTGTGGGCTTTTAAATTGCTATGTGCACCGCCCAGGTGAGCAACACACATGGCATTTAAAGTTCACATGGCTGAGAATGGGGCAGGGAAAGCTTTCTCAAGCCTGTTCCCAGCTCCGCCAGCTTTGACATCCCTGCCCCCACTGCCAAGCTGCAGAGGTTCATGATTTGGGGAAGATGTAGGGATTGGTGTCACAAAGCCCCCAGCCCAAGTCTGCGGAAGAGATAGGGATCATTTCCTTGCTGCTACCAGACTAGACCAGACCAGACCAGACCAGGAGAGCAACATGCAAATGTTCATTCTTTGAGAGAGTTTCTCTTACAAGGGAGGTGTTTCAGGTTGATCCTTGTAGTTTCTACTGGGAGAGCAGGAATTCTTCCAGCAGAAATGGGCCTATAACACCTGTATGTGGCCTATTCCACCTTCGAAAATGGAGCTTGGGCTTTCTAAGTCCTTAGTAACTTCAGAAAATGGAAGTGAGATTTCTACATCACTTAATTAAGCTCCTGGCAGACATTCAGCTATGGGCATCATGGGAAGCATTCCCTCTAAGGTGCGTGGGATGCGCAGCCATGCAGGCATGCTCGTGCCATGCTGCCAGATACGCCTGTGCGGCTGCGCACATGGTGCAGCTTAGAGGGACCGCTGGTCATGGGATATGATGCATGATCCCAGCAGTTGTGCCTCCTGGCATGCTAGACAACCATGGTAGGAGGCATGATTGTGGCACTGGCAATTAGAAAGTTAGTCAGCTGATCCTTGTTCCTGGTCTTGGAAGCATAGCAGTCAAGGGCTCCATTGCACCCCCACAGGGATGGGAGCAACAGCTAATCATTTCTCACAGCTTTGGGGGCACACTGGAGCCCTTGACTGTGATGTAACTTGGAGGCTGGGAATGGCAGTCAGCTAATTAGTGATTCCAGCCTAGAGAACGTATGGAGTGAAAGGCCCCCATGAACTCCCCAGGCTGGGAAACCCAATCAGGCTGGCCATACGTACAATATAAGATATGATGGGATCCCGCCACAAAGTTGTTACATGATTTTTGTGTATAACTTTGTGGCTTAGTTCATGTTTTATTGCACCAATTAATTGCATTAATATGTGGCCAGGTTACTATTTAAGATGTGATTAACTGGTAAAGCACGTCTTAAGTCTAATGTCTTCCAGAGGAACCATAGAAACATTTGAAGATTTTGCCTTCAATCTTTCCCTGTCCTCCCCCCTCCTTTGCAGGTCATCTTTCTTACCATTTTAAAGCATGTCTTTTGAGCCTTTTACAGAAGAATGAACAATTCTAAAAGAAATTACTAAACCAGCTACTGTCCTGCTGATCTCTTGTGTATAGATCATCATAGTGTTAAGAACTGTGCTTTAAAAAGACAGCGAGAAAAAGTTAGTGCATTCCCCTTCAGCAGCTTTCAAACATAAATTCTGTAGAGCTTTGTAAAAGATAAATAATTGTAGCGGCCCTATCAAAAAAGACTTAAAACATAAAATCAGTACAAGTCTTGATAAATTTATTCTAAACACCTAAGCCAATTATGCAATTTATTTGATTATTACAGATGAACAAGCAAATACCCCAGACAGGCATTTCTAATGCTCCAGTTGTGTTCTTATAAAAGCAGTATTTTAGGGGGCTTTTTAATTCTCAAAAAATTTAATTGTTTAGACTTTTTTCCCCCAGGGGTTTTTGGTGGGTGTTTTAGGTTTATCTATTCAAAAAACTAGGTTGCTACTTAGTTTTCTGGTTCCAGGGGTCAAGATGGAATATTTAATATAACATTGCATGGAGGATTGAAATGTATGTTTTGAGACAGATGAAGTTGGAAATATTTTAATTTTCAGTCTTTAATTTGCATGGTTCACTCACATGCTGAAGTGTTAACTGATTCAGAATCCAGGAGAATTTCAGTTAAAAGAGAAAAACAAATGAAAAAAAAGGGAAAATCCTCCATAAATGCATTATAGATGACTGAGTATGAACTTTGCAAGTGAATAAACATAGCCTTGTGTGGTTATCAAGCAGTGAGCTATATGGTACAAGGTCTAGTGAGCAAAATTAGAAGACATTTATTTCTTTTCTCCAATATTTTTACTGCAGTGACAAAATGTCAAAAGCATGAGTGTGGGTGAGAATAGAATCAGTATCCTGACATGAACTTTTGCTTTCAGATAGAAAACTACTTACTTCGTAATCATGAGACCAGAAAATACCTACAGGAGCAGGCATACCGGTTGCAGCAAGGCATTGTAACTAGTACCACACAACAGGTGAGTGCCTTGTACATGACTGATCATGCTTTCAGTATTGAATTTTTTTCTGGGGACCAAATTCTGTCCTAATTATAGCAATGTAACCATGTGGCCTTTAGAACCTGGTTGACTAAAATAAAGAAATTGACACTGATTCCTTTTACTATGGAACCTGAAGAGAGATTTTTTTTGCAGAGCCTTTAAATACCATGAGCACAAATGCTGTTGAAAAAGATTAAAGAGAGCAATTCACATTCTTGGTTGTGCCCCCAAAGTTGCATGCCATAAAGAATGTTCAACTCAGAAAAGGAAGGGGGTACACATTCCTGTTTTCTAGATTCTGAGCCATTGCATGAGTTAAAATAGCCCCCTATGTATCTTAGACTATGGGCAGACATTATGTTTTCACCTCCCAGCTGCAGCACAGCAAAAATTGCCATGAAGGCATACAGTGATGTGTTCTGTAGCCAGGGGGTATGATAGTAGGTTGCTTGCCGCTGTGGATCCAATCCCTCACCACCACCAAGATGAGGGTAGCATGGCAGTGAGTCTGCTTGCTTACACCAGTCTGCTACCCCTACAGTGAAGTGGGAATCAAAGCTGCAATCCCCCACTGACTGCTGTAGCCCTGGAGACCATCATGGGGAATGGCAAGCTTTCAGTGAGTGCCTTGCAGCTTCGGCCCTCTGGGGCTGCCTTCCCTTCCCCATCCTCGTGGTGGGGTAGTGGGCAGGCTCCCAGTGATCAGGTGGCATCACAGATTCTCTGGGGCTGCCATCTGTTCCCCTGTGACTCAGGGGAACTAGACCACAAAACTCAATGACTCTACCCCATTCCCTTGGGCGGTGGGGGGAGCGGGAGGAGAGGAAAAAGCACTGTTGTATACTGAGAGACTGCTGTAGTGCTTCATTGTACTGTCTAGATGTTATATGTGGTGCTACAGAGAAGTTTCTGGGTGGAACAGCTGTGCTTATGTAGCACTCCCACTAATTTTGTAGGACTACAGGGCACATGCATGTTTGTCCTCTTAGTTTTTCTAGTATTACACAATTGTTGGCAGTTCCACAAACATAAGGTCCCTGACCTTTGCTGGGAGTGCTGCTTTAAGTGAAATAGGTCCCCCTACTGCATCCTCCCAGCATGGCAAGCCTCCTTTACCAGTGCTTCTGAGAAGCTTGATGCAGGGTCTGTGATGGCTCATCACAGTCTCTATACCAGGGCAATACTCCCTGGTGTCTTGCAGGCTGTTTATGCTCCCAGTATACCACTGGGGCAGGTTTGCAAAACTGGATGTGACTCGGAGTGTGGATTTTGTTTAAATACAGATTGTAGGCCAGATTCATATGGTCTCCATAGGCACCTAAATAGGGCTCAGGCAGAACTTAACCTTCTAAGCCCTGTAGTGTAATTCAAATTATCTTGTGCCAGTAGCCATAAAACGTTTCGGTCATGTCCAGTTTGGGGCACCTGGGCATCAAGGGCATCTTTATACATGCTGTGGGAGGGGAGCAAGAGGGAAGCACTGTAATTAGAGCAGCTCTTGGAAGCCACTCTAACTAAAGTACCCTGCAGCATCACGTGTATTCAGCTTCCTGCGCTCCAAAATGCTGGTGGGGACATTTCACTAAAGCTTTTCAAACAAACTTTAGGTAGAGTACCCCCACCACCATTTTGAGGCACGGGGACACCAAATACATGTTTATGCAAAGGCTGCTGGACAATGCTAATTAGCACACTCCGGCAGACTCAATTAATTGAGTCTGCTTTGATGCCTTCTAAGTAGCACGTACTGGAGCAGGCATCTGGCACATATAGAGGTGCCCCAACTTTCTGCTTAAGTTTGGGTGCTGTACATACAAGTTCTGAGAGAAAGCAGGAGGCCACTGTTCTAGGCTTTCCTCACCTGAGAGGATTCAGACCCACATATTCCACTTCCTAGGAGAGTGGTCTCACCATGCAGTTACAGAATAATTGCCATGTCCCTCCTTTGTGAGGGTAAAGGCTTTGGTTCTGAGCCTTGCTCCCAGGATGATTTATGCGTATTATATTAGACAGCCATTGGTTAAAAAATAGATATAAAGCTAGAGAGACATAAAGTTAGAGAGAAGGTAAGCAAGAAGAAGCCTGCCACTCCACTGGAAGGATGGGCTCTTGGAATTTGGTCCTTGCTGCTATGGCTATTTGTAAGTTTTAAGTATTCCTGTCTAAATGCCTCTACTTACAAAACCAGTTTTATTCAGATCCTGTATTCATTTGAACTCTAGTTACTGTTCAGGCCAGTGCTGGAGTAGAGCAGTCCAGAGCAGTGCTGCTCAACCAGGGGTCCATGGGCCAAATCTGCATGCCTCTGCTGCCAAATTTCTGTACCTTTGGGAAGCCCCATGGGCCAGATCAGGGCAGGTAATTATTTCAGGCAAAGGGCTACTTAACAATTTTTGGCGAGCTGTCAGGGGCTGCTTAAGTAGCCTCATCCCTTCACAGTTGCCCTGCCCCATGGTCACCACATTGGGTCCAGAAGTCCTGCCCCTAACCCTTAACTTTTGCCACCAGAAGTCCCTCCCCTTGCTGCCCCTCCCCCCTATATTCTTTTTGGGAGGGGGGGTTGCCATCTTAGAACCAGAAACAAACCGAATCATACACCAGAAGTCAAACACCTACTATAATATATTTTAGTTATATTACAAAAATATTTGTCATGACTTGTGATTGTTTACTGTATATAGAAGGAATTGCATAACAACTCAAAAATAAAGTGTCAATTATATTGTGTGTGTGGTGGGGGGTGGTTGTGAAGGGGGCAGAGGGTATGTTGGGGTGTATGTATATGTTGGTGGGGGAAGGGTGTGGGGTATAAGGGAGAGTGGGGGGTGTAGGGAGCTCCTACACACACACACGGCATTCAGCCCCCACACACGCCCTTGCAGCCTGCCTCTATCGCAGAGGCTCTGCGCTGTGTTCTTACTACTCCACACTTGCAATGGGACAGACCTGTGCTGGACCCTGTGGGGAAGCAAGGGGCAGGGCTCCCTCCACTCCTGGTGGAGTGCGGGGACCTGCACAGCAGGGAACAAGGGAGGCAGCAGGCTCCAGCGCAGAGCTTCCCCAGCTGCAAGTGTTGGAGATGCAGGTGCGTGGCGTGGAGCCCTGGCAATAGGGCAGGTTCTGCTCCCTCCTCCTGCACAGTGCTGGGCATAATCGCCCACTGGGCACAATCGCCCTGACCTCCCTGCCTGCTGCTGCTGCTGGCAGCTGGGGCTGCATGCCATGGGGGGATGTGTAGGGGGTCCCTATACCTGCCACCTTCATACCCACACCCTGCCTATCTGCCCCGCCACTTCCCTACCTGCTGCCTCAAGCGAGCATGTTCTGGCTGCAGCAGGAGTCATGCCCGGAAGAGCCATTCTACACAAGAAGGTGGGAGCAAGGCCCGATAGGGTATTTTGGGGGTTATACACCTGGTCACCTCGCTTCTGCCCTTGTGGGTAGAAGGGCTAGGTGGGGTACAATTCATTGTGAGGGGCACTGTGGGCTGAATGAAAATGCCTGGCAGTCCACATTCAGTCCACAGGCTGTATTTTGCCCACCTGTAGGCCAGATGATGTGGTTTCACATGCTACATTGCATTGGTGCACAAGTTTGGTCCGTGGCAGAGTCCGCTGTGCCAGATTGCACCTGTCAGCCAACCCCACATAGGATCAGGCCCACAGACTGACCCCCATGCACTGTTCCTGCACTGGATCAGGCTCATGGACTGATCCCATAACACTCATGCAGGCTGCAGAGATTTGGCACCACTAAGGTGAAGAAAGTGGAGATTTCCTCTAATCCTTAAGCAGTTTCCTCACACTTGCTTCAGTTTTTTTTTTGGTTTAGAGGCTTATAGAACAATGGTTTATTACTAGAGGCTGAAAGTACTTTCCACCCTCTTGACAGATAAAATGGTACACAGGGATGCACTGGCATTAAAATCTCTAAGAGCAGCATCATTTTATTTTATTCTAACCATTCATCCATTGCAGTGGTGCTCAACCTTTTTGCCCCATGGGCCAGTTGATCAGTGCACCCTGATCTGTTCCATTACTACCCTTTTCACATTAATTTCCTTCTGCATTATGTTTAGTCCTTTTTGCATCTGTTTTTTTGGTTGGTTTTCTTCCCCCCTACAATGAGGTCTCAGGAAATCTAAATTACCATTTTTAAGAAGTAGAATAAAAGCACCCATGCTTATTTAAATTCTGGGTATAAAATGAATCATAATGTAAAACAGAAATTAGCAAACATTCCAGAACAGAGACAGATATTCTGGCTTATCCCCCCACCAGTACATTATTATTTCCAGAGAATATTTTTTTATTTGTCCAGTTCAATCTTTAAATGACCCAAGTGAAGGGAATTCCATATTATCTACTCATTAATCTGTTGGGTTTAAAACCCCTTGGAGAGAAAAACAGAGCAGAAAAGGAAGGTGCTGTAGATGTGCTTTGGTACTGGTTAGCAAAAATGCTGGATTTACCAACTTTACATTATCGTGTAGACAATTTGTTGGGGTTTCAAAATGTTAGACAGATAGCTTGCTTTAAAGAATTTATTTAAAATCTTTTCATTGCCTCCATAGTGATATAAGCACTCTGTATTCCCTCCTGTTTCTCATAGCCACAAATCACTAAAAAATTGTCATTCGTAGGTGAGGCAATAATATTGTTCTATCTTATAGGGCACATAGCTTCCGCCTTTCTATTTGAGTGTGTGGAACATTTTGTATCAAATGCAATGCAAAACTCTAGAACTCTTGATTCACAGATGATATCTTTTATTAGACCAACTGAGAAATCACAAAAAATTATCTTGTTCAAGTATCATCTCTGAACCAGGAGTTCTGGAGTTTTGCATTTCTTCTTGTTTCAGACCAACATGGCTACCAAATGCATCCCTGAACCCTTGTATCAAATGCAACACTAATTCAAATTTAAATGATGAAAGATTGTGAAAGCAGATTTTTGTTTTGATAGACGTAGGTCTAAGCCAGTGTTCTTTGATTGGAAATGTTTACTACTTCGAAAATATTTGCAAATCATGCTCAATAATGATTTGTTCAGAAAGCAGAAATAAATTATCACTAGTGTCTGGACTGACTGTAGGGCAATGTAGTGTTACTGACAACAGCTCAATAATCTTTACACCCATGTTTTAGATCTCAAAGTATTTTGTGTATACTCCCTTTTTCCCAGCCCCTCCCACCCTACCCAGCTAACTTTAGCTGTAGGAAGAACGAAAGAAAAGAGGAAAGGTGGTACCTCGTGTTATTACTTGCACCTTTTTTTCCTATAGTAGAAAAAATATTTTTATATCAGAAACATTTGTACACATGTGGGCTCTAAACATACATTTGAGAGCTTTGGGTCCTAACAGCAAATACCATCATGTTCATTTAGATCTGGAATCTGGACTGGATGTACATGTGAATTGTACTGTGTCCAAGTTTGTGGACAATACTAAATTGTGGGATGAAGTGCACACTCCAGAGGGTAGGAAACGATTGCAGGCCGACCTGGACAGGTTAAAAAAAGTGGGCAGTACACAATAGGATACAGTACAAGGACAAGTGCAGAGTGCTGCACCTAGGGCTCAAAAATATCTAGGACACTTACTGGCTGGGAAGTGACCCTCTCAGCAGCACAGAAGCGAAAAGGGATCTTGGAGTCATAGTGGACTCCAAGATGAACATGAGTCATCAGTGTGATGAATCATCAGCAAAGCTAACCACACTTTATCATGCATCAGCAGATGCATGATGAATAGATCCAAGGAAGGGATACTTCCCCTCTATGCAGCATTGGTCAGACTGCAGTTGGAGTACTGCATCCAGTTTTGGGTGCCACACTTCAAGTAGGATGTTGATAGACTCAAGAGGGTCCGGAGGAGGGCCACTTGTATGATCAGGGGCTTATAGGACAAGCCCTATGAGGAGAGACTGAGGGCCCTAGACCTCTTCAGCTTCCACAAGAGAAGGCTGAGAGGTGATCCTGTGGCCGCCTAAAAATTCATTAGGGGGACGCAGCAAGGGATTACAGATGCTCTGTTCACAAGGGCGCCTTTTGGGGTAACAAGGAACAAGGGTCACAAACTGACAGAAAGCAGATTTAGGCTAGATATCAGGAAAAATTTCTTCATAGTAAGGGTGACCAAAATTTGGCAGGGGCTTCCAAGGGAGGCGGTGCTCTTCCCTACCTTGGGGGTCTTTACAAGAAAGCTGGATAGGCATCTGGCTGGGGTGATCTGAGCCCAGCACTCTTTCCTGCCCAGGCAGGGGGTCGGACTCAATGATCTGTTGATGTCCCTTCCGACTCTAGCATCTATGAATTGAGTGAAACTTAACTTTGTGTTTGATCAGCACCACTTCTTTGCAAATAATCTATTTTCTGCCTTTGCTTCTAATATTTTCTCATCTTTTTTCTTTAGATGATTGACAGAATATGTGTTAAAGTACAAGATCATCTCAACTCTTTAAGAAACTGTGGTGTGGATGCTGTACAGGAAGATCTAAAATGTGCAGAAAGGCTTATGCGGGATGCTAAGAACTCGAAAACAGTAAGAACTTCCAAGCACTATATACTGGTTACATGGATCACAGTTTAATATAAAATGGTTTGATTAAAGAACTATAGCCCTGATTTAGTTCTTTATATTTATTTGTGTGTGTGTGTACTAGCAAATTGCCCATCAAGAATGATGGGGAAGGGAGGGTGGGCGGGAATGGAGGGGAGAGGGGAAGGTTGCTAACCCTAACCCACCAGCCCCGCGCCACCATGGGGCTGGGGGAATGGGGGAAGCTTGCTGCCGCCACCTTCCCCAGAACATGCTTGCAGCACTGTGATTTGTTGTTTCAGTAACCAGTCAGAGTGCTCCAAGAGCAGTATGGACAGACAGACAGACAGACTAAACCCTTTATTATATTAGGATATGTATGTGTGTATATATGTTGGGCGGGAGGGTGTAAATATAAAGGAAATATAAAAGTCAATCCTTTTATGGATTGGTAAGAACTCACCTTTTCCCCATGTTATCTGAACTGGTTTTTATTCAGAATGTTAAATAAAGAATGTTAAAATGAATGCATTTTTTCATCTGTTTTTCTAGATTTGAAGATAATCACCAGAAAGGCTAATTTTTCAAATTGTTGGCTTTGTTTTACAGTTGTTGCCGAACTTATACCACCTCGGTGGACCTTCTTGGGCAGCAGTGAATGGTTCGTTATCCAATCCAATACAGGAGACGTTAGAATCCATGGCTGGGGAAGTCACAAGAGTTGTGGATGAGCAACTTAAGGTCTGGATATAGGTGGTTTTAGATCTTACAGATATAAAAAATGGCTAATGATGGACATGAACTTAAATCAAGAACTGCTATTGCTATCGTAAATGCAAGTGCCATTCAAATGCAGAGCAAGAATTAGAAAACCCATAAAACTTCAATTTGCTTTCTTGGTATTAATTTTGGAACACTGAGTGTTTTTGTTCTGGGTGACTAGCTCCTAGAAAAATGTTCTGAGTTAAAAGTACAAAGTTAAGCATTCTCAAGGAAGAGAAAGAGATGCACCATCTTGTATCTAAGGACACAGGATGCACCATCTTGTATCTAAGGACACAGCCATGTCAAAGGCTATAAACACCTCTGTCCTCTATTGGGATTTTGCCAAAGCAAAAGATTTACATTTACACTGCAGTGGAGTTGTACCAAACCAGTTCCCTGTCCAGGCACCCTAGAAAGCCTCACATACTTTGACAGATAAACTTGCCAATTCAGGTGTCTCAGTGGAGTGTGAGTTAGGGGTAGCTTCTTCTGTAGAGAACCACCGCTATGTGCTCTCAGCCCAAGGTCAACTTTGAGTGCCACTTCAATCCTTCAGTTTCAGTAAGTTTACCACAGGACTTTAGTGAGTGCCTATCAGTGTGGGTTTAAATCAAGGTAGTTTAACCAGCTATCTAAATCATGATTTAAATCACAAAGTGGAAAAGCTTCATTTAAAAAGAATCCATTTTAATAAACTTTTCAACTTGTATTTCACTTATTTTGTAAAGAAGAGTAGTGTCTCATTGATAGATATGACCGTTTGGTATAATTTTTTCAACGTAGCAGGGTACACTACAACTATAGACCTGTATTCAATCAATTCCTTAATATATTTAGATTCTCATTAATTCTGCTTTACTAAGAAGGGTTAGAAAATTATCAACAAAATAGTGCTTATTTACTGGATGATCAACTTTTTATTTTGTATACGGCAGCTGTATTAAGATGGTAATAGAAATGGTAAATGGCATATAATTTTTTTTTATTAAACTAAGCAACCATAAATGTTTTGGGTAAATAAACCTTACGTCGTCAGAATATGCTCTATGTATACAGCTAACTAAGTTGCAGAACAAAGAGATTAACTGTAGTTGGCAAATTATTTCAGGTTAATTTGGAAAAATTAGTGAATATGTTTAAGTGAAAGTGACTGAAATTTAAGGGCACTTTTAAATGTGCTCTGACACTCCAGTGCTTCAGTGTCCCATGTATTCAGTGTCCCATGTTTGAAAATGGTGGTGGAGGAGCTTTAACTAAAGTTTATCAAAAAAGCTTTAGTTAAAGCACCCCCACCATCATTTTGAAATGTGGGGTGCTGAATACACAAGACGCTGTCATTAGAGCAGCTCCTGAGAGCCACTCTAATTAAAATGCACCCCCCCCAACTTCCTATTTGCCTGTTTTTCAAGAATTAGCATCTCAAGTGGCTTGGGCTGTCCTTCACGCTTTCAAAGGAGAGGATAACTGGAAGAAGTTATCCTCTCCTTGCACATTTTTCTCATAGACTAGAAGAGGGGGACAGTTTTTCCAGCAAAAAAACAAACCATGAGCAGCAAACATGTACTCGAATTAGGGGTACACCAGTAGAGATTTTTGGGGCTGATACTGATGGTCAATATTTAAGGAGGCATATTGGCCGATACCAATCCAATTTCTGATACAGGTGCCTTCAGCTGGTAGGTCTGGTATGGTGGAAGAGGAGGGAGGGGGTGAAGTGGCAGGGGGAGGGCAGATCAACACCCCCCACAGTGAGGGAGGGGATGGGCAGGTGCTGCCTAGGTGGGGCGTTGTGGGGAGGCCAGAGCTGTGGCTTGGGTGGGGGGTGGCTCCCACCACTACTTGCATCCCAGGAGGGTATAGTGGGGACATGTGGTCCCCAGATTTGCATGGGTTCAGGTGCAGCTGGGGCTCTTCTTGGTGGGGGCTGAGCTCAGAGCAGGTGCCGCTGGCACTGGGAGGATGCTGCATCCACTCCGGATTTCGCTGCAGTTCTGCTCCCAATGCCGCTGCCACCAGGTGGAGCCCCAACATAATGCCCCGCCTCCACCCACATGCCAGGAAGAGCTGGAGCTGTGGCTGGCGGTGGTGGCGCTGGGAGTGGAACTGCGGCAAAATTTTGGGTGGATGCAGCATTGTCCCAGCACTGCTGGTGCCCAGTCTGAGCCCAGGTCCCACTGAGAAGAGCCACACACAGTCCCACCTACAGCCCTCCTCACCCCATGCAAATCTGGGGGGAACATGCCCCCCCATGTCCTCCTGGGGTGCAAGCAGCAGCAGGAGCTGCCTCCCCTCCATAAGCTGCAGCTCCAGCCACCCCCATCCCCTCCCCGCCTGGGCAGCGCCTGCCCATGTCCCCTCCCTCACCACAGGGGGAATTAATCGGCCCCCCCACATACACTTTCCCTCCCCCCTCCCCTTCCACCACACTGGATTTACCAGCTGGAGGCAGCTCTCCATACTGCCGGCTCTGTTCCTTACTGCCTGAGTGCTGTACAGTGGCTGTGTGCAGGACAGCATTTATCGGACAATTTCCAGTGCAGCCAGTTTTCTTTATATTGGTACTGATCCAATATTGAACCAATGTATCAGTGTACCTCTAACTCAGATTGTTTTCCAGCCCTGAAACTTGCTGTGGTTGACTTGATTGGTAAATGGCTGTTAGTTTCTCATGTCATAGCATTATCTTCCTCTTCAGCAGTTAGGCATTTCATCTGGGACCTTGGCCCTGAGGATATTGGCAATAAGGACAATCAGGTGGAGAAAGCACCTGATATATCTGCTTCTTTAGTGTCTACAATTTAACTCCATTGAGAGATTGCTTTCTCTTGAAGTTCTATCAAAGTTTCAACAGATTTTACAGTACAGGAGCAGTTTGTTCAACACTATGGAAATAGATTTCAGCATGTTTGGCTTATTGTTTTAAATTTATCTTTAGTCAAATGTTGATCACTTTAACTTTGATAATTCAGTGCATTTTTCGCTATTTTCTTCACAAACTGAAGACATTCTAAAAAAAGAGCTCGAAAGAGTCAATCACTGGATTCCCTAATACATCATAGGGGAGATGCTCTCCTCAGTGAAGTGAAGGCAAAAGAGTTGTTACAGAACTATTTTGCAATTTCAGCAACACATTACTTTTTTTCCTGGAGAACTAAAATAATTGCCTAAAAGTTGCATCAAATGAACATTGCAACCATATTTTATAAGTTTCCAGGTTTCCTTCATTATCTTCTAGATTTCTTCCCATCTTTGCTACGTTTGCAGCATTGACTGTGACAAAGTTATGCACTTGACATTTGAATATGTGTTTAGTCTGTATGGAATGTACTGCTACCACATTTGACTGTTCTGCTGTCTGAGTGTTTCCTAATGTATTGGTTGTTTCTATAAAATATACCCTCCCATCTTTTGCTGTCACACAAATGCATATTGGTTCATTGTAGATGTTGCTTCACCCATCAAGACTCAGATTAATGGATTTTGCATTAATGTTTTTTTGCGTGCTGCTCAGTTTCCATCTCAAACACTGCATCTGGCATCTTCTGGTGCCATGTTAATAAAGTTTGACCTCAAAAACTAGATGTTGTTCACCTGTTCTGGAAAAGCATGCAACCCACGACTTGGTGTTTTTGATGGAAACTCATTGATACTTTGTTTTAATTCTTTTATTTTAATATTTTTAAAGATTATAATCAGTTTAGTCCTTAACTATTTTGTATTGGGTTTAGATTTTATTTTAAACAGGTTTATTTATAACAAGAAAGAAATACATACATTGTAATAATTTAATATTTTTAAAATCCTATTTATACCAAAAAACATTATTTCACTAAAATTTCTGATTTATTTTATTTTCTTTTTTAAAAAAAATCAGGTTTTAGCAATCCTGATGTCCATTCCAAGGGACTCTTTGACAAGCTGTGTATCAAATGTGCAGTTCTTCAATTGAGTATTAATTTCTAAAATCCACATTTATTCAGTCACCTAGGTGCCTGATTGCTTTAAATTAGGTAAAAAGAGGTAAGGAACAGGCGTATATACAATATACTTTGTGCATGAAATAAACGTATCTGCCCAGCTCTGGGGCAAGATGGAAGATGGTAGTAGCTGCTAGGCTTTTTGTGAAGGAAATTCAGAATGTGGTTTTGAGATTACCCAATCAGAGCATGTTCCAGTTCACCAACTGGTTAGCAACTTGGCTGTGTTTCACTATACTTAAACATATCACAGAATCTGAAATTGCAGATTAAGCTCTGTTCAGCTGAGACAAAATAAAAATGCTTTAGTCAGTGGGAATGTAATGAAAAGGAATAATAATGCCCCATGACTAATTACTTTTTCTAAATTAAAAAGTTAATGAGGAGGAAAATATTGCCAATTATTGGGTATTTGGTCCCTTCTCCTCTTTGTACATAATAAGGCAAAGAGTCTGTGGATCAGTTTTTATTTTAAATCTCTCCTGTGTATAAGAGCTTGTAGAAGTGAAGCTAATCTCTCCACAGGATTCTTGCCTATAGAGCTTCCAGGCTATCACTGAAATATGCATAATCAGTTCTGTTCTCTGGGCAGGACTGGTGCATTTCAAACAAGTCCTGTGCATTTTAAACAGCCTTGCAGAAGAAAAGTTGTCTTTAGAATTGTTTGTAGAAGTGCTGCCTCGATGTGCTTCATAGCATACGATTGAGTTAATGTGTTGCATAGTCATTTATGCTTTCACACCTGAAAGTAAAGGGCACCTTTTAGATCAATATTTGTCAACTTTTAAAATTACTAGTGCCAAAAGTTTATGAAGTGCCTTATAGCTTATAGGCATCTTAGAAGTCTTTACTGGCAAGGCTGGAGACTTTTCAAGTATTGCGATTGATCTATTTTGCAAGGCGGGAATTGGGGCCACGAGGGAGGAGGGGAGGGAAGGAGATAGAGAGGGATCAGTTGCTTTTTTTTTTTCTTGAATAGTTTATTCTGAATCAAGAATTCCTGTGGGGTTTACACTAAGATCATGTAAATACAGTTCTGTTTGTAAAAGTGACCTCAGGAGAAATATTGCACCTAAAGTCTTCTAAGTGGACCTCTGGTTTTGGCTTCAACTGCCTTAGCAACTAGGGGTGCCTACAGACATAGAAAAAATGGCGCTTTACTTTAAACTTGGTGCATTCCCACACTGAACCCCATGCATACCCAGAAGAGGCAGCATGTTACTTCAACCCGGCTCACCTGATGTCTGTAAAATTGGGCACTTTAGTGGAGCTTTTTTGGCACTTATCTAATAGCTGATTGCATCAGCTATTCGATAAAAGTGCCTAAAGGCCCTGCCGAAGTACCTAATCTTTACAGATGCTACAGAGTTGGGTTGAAGTAACACACTGCTGCCTCTAGTAAAGTTATTAAATGTCTGCACACAGCCTAGAGGTCACATTTCCAAAATTTTTTAACAGATCAGATACCAGGAATTTTCTCTCAAAGGAGAACTGGGGAGGGGAAGAGAGGAGTGAAAAGAAGGATAAGTGAGTTTACTAAAGAAACAGAAATTGCAATAGAGCTTCTACATTGTACTTTGCAAGTCCCTGTCAATGCATTGTCACCAGTCAAAATCTCCTGCTGATACAAGAAGCAGTCTTATTCTGCCAGTGAAGATGGTAGACTGAATGGGAAACTCCAGGAAATGAAAAAGATCTTGAAGCAAGAGAAGACTTTTCATAAGGACTCAAGGGACAGTTTGAGTCATTCCTCTGCAGAAACACCTATGTTTCTTTGTCCGTCTTGGAACAAGGAGAGCATGAGTGATCAGTGCGACTCCACAAATGGTTCAATTGGAGCAGGTTCCACTTCACAGCCTCCTGAGTACCCAAAGCACATTGGGAGAGTGACACTGCAGCTGCACTGGGTGCAGGTCTCCTGGTCTAGTGCTGGAGTCCCTTATCTGTGGCAGTGCCTCTCCCTCCCATATACAGACACAAATTGGCCTACATTTGTGTACTTAAAACTGAGGTGGTGGCCACTTGTTGGCTTTCTTAGATTTAAATTTCAGTTAGCTAAGATGTTTTGAGGAAAATGGAAAGCTTTCTCTGGGGTTTAAGTAGCATTATGGAGACTTTAAAACACAAGGAATTCCTTTGTGTTATACTTGTGTATTCACCCCTCTGCAATTCTCTCATTTCCATTTCTGTATCCTTGTGTTAGTCTTATTTAAATCTGTGTAGGGTTGGCTTGTCCACTTTTTGTTTTTTCACTGTTCAGTGTGTGTGTTGCAGACATATTTTAGATTGTAATCAGATTACTCAGTTTCCCTATGCATGTTCCATAATATATAAGGGGACTAAGAGAGTTTACTGGCATCATGGAGATGGTTTTTCTAAGAGAAGAAGAAAGCATGTGTTCTTCCACCCGGGTTGTAAGACTTCTCCATCTGGAGAGCATGCAAAAGATGCTTCTAATCAGGGGTGGGCAAAATGCGGCCTGGGGGCCAGATGCGGCCCGCCAGGCCGTTCTGTACAGCCCACAGGGCCCCTAAAAAATTTAGAAAATTAATATTTATCTGCCCTGGGCTGCCTGTCATGCAGCCCTCGATGGCTTGCCAAAACTCACTAAGCAGCCCTCTGTCCAAACTAATTGCCCACCTCTGTTCTAAATGCATTTCCTGAAGGCTGCTGCCCAGACAAGAGCATCTTTGCTGAGAGACAAGTGGAGAGAGCACTCAAGAAGGTTATATATTTATTTTGCTGCATGATTTTAGGTATCTTGGTACCCTGCCAGGTTCAGTATATCACTGAACCAGTAAGAAACCCTCATGACATGGAGCACTGCTCACACTACAAGTACTGTTCTTCCCTCTACTGGAACCTTGAACTTCTGCTATGGTGCGGATGACTTCAGGTCTTTTCCGTAGAAGATCATGGCCCTCTTTCTTTTTTCCTGCTCTTACTTTCTTAGGATTTCCAAGAAGTACTATATGACAATAAAGCTGTCTGACTAGAAAAGTTTATTTGCTTGTTATTTGCACGCACGCACGCACGCACGCACACACACACACACACCCGTAGGCAATTACTGGAAATAAAGTAGGTATAACATTTTCCTCTTGGATGCATCAGATGGAAAGTATCAAAAGTATAATGAGATTTATTATTAATTATACTTTCAGTGCTTTCCATTTGGTACATTAAAGAGGAAAATTCTATACCTACTATAGCTGCAGTTACTAGAATTAAGGAAATTAGAGGTAGGGTGCTTTCTTGTTTAAGGTGCTTACCTAGGACTTTGGAAAGTAAGGTTCAGTGCCACGTTCTCACAGTCTTTTTTGGTGACCTGGGTTAAGTCTCTTAGCCTGCCTGTGTCTCAGCTTCCCATCTATAAATTGGAGTGCTATTAATAGCACTTACCTGCCTCATCAGGCTGGCATGAGGATAAATATGTTGAACTTAGGGGTGCACAACAGTGATAAAGGAAATACAAGTTCCTAAGACAGAGGGCCTTATTTTCCAGCTTGTGGGTATTATGTATTTGTGACCCATCTGTTTCAGGGGTAGGTAACACCCGGTACAGGTGCCAGAGTGTGGCACTCAAAGGCATTTTGCTTGGCACACATGCCTCTGGGTGGATGGTGGGGAAGGGGCCGGGGCTACACAGCAATGGCAAGGATTTGGCCCCTCATGGCTCTCCTGCCATCCGCCCCTGGCACATCAACATCTTACAAGTTGAAGCTGTGGGTGTTTTGGCACTCTAACCAAAAATGTTGCTGACTGGTGGTTGGCTGAACTGCTTTGTTGGTTGTCAGTTTTACTTTCCAGTAGTGTTTTTACTGACTGTCCTGTGCAGAACTTGAACGCAAACCTTTCTATTAGGTTCTGTAAGAGGCTTTTTTAAGCAAGGCTTGCACAGCTGAAACCGAAAGAGCAGCAAACAGATCCAGTAGAGGAGAGAGTAAGCATAGATACAGTATTGCCATCCCAAGCCTACAAAGAATTGTGTCAAGATATGAGATTTTTAAATGTTGTTATAAGTTTCCTTCTGTCATCAGGCTTTGGAAAGTTTATAGTTCATAATTCCAAGTTTTTCTTTGCAGCCATGAAAACTAGAAACTTGCCTTCTTAATGAAAGCAGAAATTCTCTTATAATCATTTGCCTTAAAGATCCAGCTCTTGTGAGACATCACTTTCTTTTAAAAATAATTGACCAAATTTAAAAAATGTGTAGTTGACGCTATATAAATTGTATATGAACTCACACACATGGCAATGAGATTCATGCTGGTAAATTTTTGTATACCTCAGAAATTGTACCAGTGTCCATTCCTGATAATGCTGCTAGTAAATTCCAAGCACATGCAAACGTACATTGTCATCATCTTCATCTCAGGCTCTGAAGCCTTTTATACATGAGAAGGCTTAAATTGCTAAAGACAATTGCAAATTCAGAGCACAGTGTGGCTGACCTTTGGAAGTGTTATTAGACATCTATAACAGAGCAGTCTTGCTACTTAAGAGTACAAATACAGTCCTGAGTGCCCAATAGGAGCCTATTCATTGTACTGATAATTAAGCAAATACAGTTATAACTTTAATATTTGAAAAAATAGGTAAATTGTTTGTCTCAGCTCATTTTATAAATGCTTTTAATTTGTGACTCTTGGTTGGATCCCAAACATCCCAGGTTTAAAATGACTTTAATGCTATTGCATTGCAGAGCACTAAGATTGTGGCTTTAATGAAAGCCATTGTGTACAGTATTGAGTTTTTCTCTTTTTTCAGTTGTTTTCATTCACTTTGTGCTGCAGACACTACTTGAGTCTATGGTGGACGCAGCTGAAAACCTTTGCCCAAATGTGATGAAAAAAACCAACATACGGCAAGACCTAATTGAAGCTAGCACTGAGAAGATTTCTATTCCTCGTACGTTTGTGAAAAATGTCCTCTTGGAACAGTCTGGAATTGACATCCTCAACAAAATTAGGTGTGTTAAAAGGACTTTTTAGAAGTGTGGCTAAAGAGTCTGGTGGTGCATTGCATTTATGTATGGCATGACTTTCTCTGTCTATTGGTGTGTTTTCTGAATGTTTCCATAAATCACAAGACAGCATACCAAGTTCTACGGAGAGCATTAAGACATCATATAGGCCCAATGAAATGCAAATATTTAGATTCTACAGTAATCTTAACCTGCAGGTGTAGTTCTGTATTATATATACAATATTTGCTACTGCTATATTTTTTGTGTATAGCTTCAAGAGACACGAATGAAAAATCATGTGTCTTTGAAAAATGTTACTGTTTTTGTTTACCTAACACAAAATTATTGCAACAGGAAAACAAATACTTGCATCTATTTTTCTATGTTGATTGTTTTGTGCATTTGGTAGGAGTTTCTACATTGTTTAGCACTGGAATTTTCTTTAGTAAGTGTATGCCAGAAAATATTCAAGATACACAGTATGGTTGAGCTCATATTGCTGTCATTGGCTGTGGGCAGTTTTCGGCGAGGCTGGGTTGACAGCAAAAGTACATCATTTTATATTTTCATCATTGTCTGTTTGCAGTGAGAGAAAAATAGAAACTTAATTTTAAAACCCCACAATTTAGAATTGAGTATGTACAGTGGAGCAAAATTGCCATAGATATGATTTGGTTTGTTTTTTTTCTAAAGATTAAATTACATTTTTCATTTTCCTATCGTCTTTTTCCCTAAAAAAAAGAAACTTTGTTTTGAAACCAAACATGGAAAGTCTCAAAGAAAAAGTCAGAAAAAGTTATGAGCAATTGAAAATGTTAACTAGGTAAGAGGTGGCCTACAAAACACTGTCTTGAAGTCTTAGTTACATCTTTCATGACAATGAAAGCCATAGAACTCCTCACTTTTGGGGGGGGGGGG